TGACAACAGGGCAGTGCCTGCTGAACGGCCTTTAGCCAAGACCTGATGACAACAGAGCGGTACCTACTGAACGGCCTTTAGCCAAGACCTGATGACAACAGAGCGGTACCTGCTGAACGGCCTTTAGCCAAGACCTGATGACAACAGAGCGGTACCTACTGAACGGCCTTTAGCCAAGACCTGATGACAACAGGGCTGTACCTACTGAACGACCTTTAGCCAAGACCTGATGACAACAGAGCGGTACCTACTGAACGGCCTTTAGTCAAGACCTGATGACAACAGAGCGGTACCTGCTGAACGGCCTTTAGCCAAGACCTGATGACAACAGAGCGGTACCTGCTGAAGGGCCTTTTGCTAAGACCTGATGACAACACAGCGGTACTTGCTGAACGGCCTTTAGCCAAGACCTGATGACAACAGAGCGGTACCTACTGAACGGCCTTTAGCTAAGACCTGATGACAACAGAGCGGTACTTGCTGAACGGCCTTTAGCCAAGACCTGATGACAACAGGGCGGTACCTACTGAACGGCCTTGACCAAGACCTACTGAACGGTCTTTAGCTAAGACCTGATGACAACAGGGCGGTACCTACTGAACGGCCTTGACCAAGACCTACTGAACGGTCTTTAGCTAAGACCTGATGACAACAGGGCGGTACCAACTGAACGGCCTTGACCAAGACCTACTGAACGGTCTTTAGCTAAGACCTGATGACAACAGGGCGGTACCAACTGAACGGCCTTGACCAAGACCTACTGAACGGTCTTTAGCTAAGACCTGATGACAACAGGGCGGTACCTACTGAACGGCCTTTAGCCAAGACCTGATGACAACAGAGCGGTACCTGCTGAACGGCCTTTAGCCAAGACCTGATGACAACAGGGCGCTACCTACTGAACGGCCTTTAGCCAAGACCTGATGACAACAGAGCGGTACCTACTGAACGGCCTTTAGCCAAGACCTGATGACAACAGAGCGGTACCTGCTGAACGGCCTTTAGCCAAGACCTTATGACAACAGGGCAGTGCCTGCTGAACGGCCTTTAGTCAAGACCTGATGGCAACAGAGCGGTACCTACTGAACGGCCTTTAGCCAAGACCTGATGACAACAGAGCGGTACCTACTGAACGGCCTTTAGCCAAGACCTGATGACAACAGAGCGGTACTTGCTGAACGGCCTTTAGCCAAGACCTGATGACAACAGGGCAGTGCCTGCTGAACGGCCTTTAGCCAAGACCTGATGACAACAGAGCGGTACCTACTGAACGGCCTTTAGCCAAGACCTGATGACAACAGAGCGGTACCTACTGAACGGCCTTTAGCCAAGACCTGATGACAACAGAGCGGTACTTGCTGAACGGCCTTTAGCCAAGACCTGATGACAACAGGGCAGTGCCTGCTGAACGGCCTTTAGCCAAGACCTGATGACAACAGAGCGGTACCTACTGAACGGCCTTTAGCCAAGACCTGATGACAACAGAGCGGTACCTGCTGAACGGCCTTTAGCCAAGACCTGATGACAACAGAGCGGTACCTACTGAACGGCCTTTAGCCAAGACCTGATGACAACAGGGCAGTACCTACTGAACGGCCTTTAGCCAAGACCTGATGACAACAGGGCAGTACCTGCTGAACGGCCTTTAGCCAAGACCTGATGACAACAGAGCGGTACTTGCTGAACGGCCTTTAGCCAAGACCTGATGACAACAGAGCGGTACCTACTGAACGGCCTTTAGCCAAGACCTGATGACAACAGGGCGCTACCTACTGAACGGCCTTTAGCCAAGACCTGATGACAACAGGGCAGTACCTGCTGAACGGCCTTTAGCCAAGACCTGATGACAACAGAGCGGTACTTGCTGAACGGCCTTTAGCCAAGACCTGATGACAACAGGGCGGTACCTACTGAACGGCCTTGACCAAGACCTACTGAACGGTCTTTAGCTAAGACCTGATGACAACAGGGCGGTACCTACTGAACGGCCTTGACCAAGACCTACTGAACGGTCTTTAGCTAAGACCTGATGACAACAGGGCGGTACCAACTGAACGGCCTTGACCAAGACCTACTGAACGGTCTTTAGCTAAGACCTGATGACAACAGGGCGGTACCTACTGAACGGCCTTTAGCCAAGACCTGATGAGAACAGGGCAGTACCTACTGAACGACCTTTAGCCAAGACCTGATGACAACAGAGCGGTTCCTACTGAACGGCATTTAGCCAAGACCTGATGACAACAGAGCAGTACCTACTGAACGGCCTTTAGCCAAGACCTTATGACAACAGAGCGGTACCTACTGAACGGCCTTTAGCCAAGACCTGATGACAACAGAGCGGTACCTACTGAACGGCCTTTAGCCAAGACCTGATGAGAACAGGGCGGTACCTACTGAACGGCCTTTAGCCAAGACCTGATGACAACAGGGCGGTACCTACTGAACGGCCTTTGACATACTGTACAGATTAGATATACTCAAAGGCAGTAAACGTGATAATATACATGTATGACAAACGAATTGGTGATACGGAGAATGTGGCTTTACAAATAGATTCATCATTGAAAATCTTTTTATTGAACTTTGATGATTGAATAACAGGTTGTGGAAATAGGGAAAAGGTATTGAACGAGTTTATTTCGCCATCAACCTTTTCTTAATTACAGGATTTAAGGTACATTTTACATTTTATTTGTGTATCTTGAAGTGGTGCTTATGTAGCAGTTGGTGTGAAATATATATATATAACAGTATTACATCTTACGAATCACTATCTCTCCACCCCGAAAAGCTACCTGGCTTCACGGTGACAGTGCTGTTTACAAATGACATGAACCCGGGGAACAATCCCTGTCTGTAGTTATGGTCAACATGTCAACAATGAAAGTGCCATTGTTAAGTATGGGGCGGTCGGGTAGCCTAGTGGTTAAAGCGTTCGCTCCTCACGCCGAAGACCCGGGTTCGATTCCCGACATGGGTACAATGTGTGAAGCCCATTTCTGGTGTCCCCCGCCGTGATATTGCTGGATTATTGCTAAAAGCGGCGTAAAACCAAACTCACTCACTCACTCACTCACTCACTCACTCACTCACTCACTCACTCACTCACTCACTCACTCACTCACTCACTCACTCACTCACTCACTCACTCACTCACTCACTCACTCACTCACTCACTCACTCACTCACTCACTCACTCACTCACTCACTCACTCACTCACTCACTCACTCACTCACTCACTCACTCACTCACTCACTCACTCACTCACTCACTCACTCACTCACTCACTCACTCACTCACTCACTCACTCACTCACTCACTCACTCACTCACTCACTCACTCACTCACTCACTCACTCACTCACTCACTCACTCACTCACTCACTCACTCACTCACTCACTCACTCACTCACTCACTCACTCACTCACTCACTCACTCACTCACTCACTCACTCACTCACTCACTCACTCACTCACCATTGTTAAGTATGGATGAATACCATCGTTTGTAGCTGTCGACGACGAACGAGGGGGACTGCTTATTTTTGTGACTATTTAGTATGTGGCCCTGACATAGTGGTTAGTGTGTGTTACTTAATCGTGTGGGTTTTTAAATAGATTTCATCAAGATTTTAATCTGTATGGGTACAATGTGTGGGGCCATTTCTGGTGTCCCCCGCCGTTATATTGCTGGACTATTGCTAAAAGCGGCTAAAAACCGTACTCACGCACTTACTAATAAGCTGCAGTTCTGATTTCGAACGTATGACATATTCTAAAGGGTTACCGGCAGCCATTGTTGTATGCATCGATAGGCTGTCCTTAAATCGGTATTTTCATACACACGGCTTAATTTAAATAGGTATCAGTAGGGAAAAGGATACCTCTTTTTAAACAATCAGAAGCAAGCATTCTTCAATGTCAGGGTAGAATTACCACTAACCCACCCACCTAGAAACATAATCGGGGCGAACCGGGATTCGAACCCACAATCATAGGTTTCTTGCGTGCCAAAGGGACGCAACTCTGCACAGCGAATCGCGGCGCCTTAAACGGACAGCTAAACATAATCAGGAGAAACGGGATTCCAACCAACGATCACGTGTTTCTGGCGTGCCCAGGGGACGCAACTATCGAGGTGCCTTAGACGACTGTGCCACCCGTTCCCCTTGGATGGTGTCTAATCGTGTCTTTGAATAAATATCTACTCAAAGAAAAAATGCTAGATTGAAACTGTTTATACGAATCCTAAAGCTGTGAATAAACATCAATATTCAGTTTATATTATTCATAATTTCATAACAACACTTAATCAAGTATTCGTCCTTCAACCATTTTCCAAAATTATTAATTTTATTATTATTATTTATTATATCATTTTCGAAAAGTGAACAAGTGTATGACTGAGTGAGTGAGTGAATGAGTTGGGTTTAACGCTGTTTAACAGTATTCCAGTTATATCACGGCGTGTCATCTTGATGTGGGAGGGAAGCCCGATGTTGGTTTATGAATAAGTAACCGTGATTTGATATTACGAGTGGGTTTGTTTTTTTTGGTTTTGGTTTCGTTTTTTTTGGTGTGTTTTTTTGCGTTTTTTGGTGGGTGTGTTTTTGTTGTTGTTTTTATTGGATGGGCACGCCAGAAACCTATGATTGTGGGTTCGAATCCCGGTTGGCCCCGATTATGTTTCTAGGTTTGTCAGCACCATACCCGTGCTCGTGGGTTTCGTGGTGAACGTCTGAGACCTGCATCACTTCGGGCTTTCCTCCCACATTAAGCTGACACGTCGTGACATAACAGGAATACTGTTAAAACCGGCGTTAAAAACCCAACTCACCCACTCACTATTATGTGGAGTTTGAACATCTGCTGAGGTTCAACTGAGACTTTGCTATGTTTATCTATTTTTGACATCAATCTTGTTGCATGATACAGACACTAAGTTACTGGAAGTGCCCTAAATAAAACGAATGTTTTTTTGTGTGTGTGTGTTTCAGACAGTCGTCAAAGGCCCTGTCGCCTACTTGGCTTGGGTAACCACTTCATATTTGTGTCACCTCTCAACGAAATGTTTCTTGACAACCTCACAAAAACATGTTCCCTGGATCCCCGGCCTTGTCTGGGCGTGTCTGGCTACATCATCACAGATGGGTCTCTGTCTCCTGTTTATCAAACAGGCTGTCCAAAACAACGCCCCTACCAGCGGTGTAAGGCGCCACCTGCCGGCCCTCGGCCACCTCGTCGGGACACTCTGTAGTAACTGTAGCATGACATTCTTAGAGGCTTCCTCAACCATTGCCATCAGACTCATGGAACCTATCACAACTGCCCTTTTAGATGCATTAGTATACAGAACATCACTTCCAGTGTCGGTGCAAACCAGCTTACCATTGGTCGTGATTGGGTGTATCATTTTCACTGGTCAGTCCTTTAAAAACATCGATCACCTATCGGGGATAATATTTGCACTTATGTCAAATTTAGGTTTTGGTTTGAGGAACATTGCCATAAAAAATAAAGGCGAATGTGAAATTAAAGTGCGTTCACGCCACGCACTGATCTTCAGTTTCTTAGCATGGACGTCAGTGGCCATTTTGGATATTCATAAACTCGGACCTGGTATGCATGTTGTGTTCCTTCTCTCGTCATCAACAGAGTTTCACGTGTTGTACTCGTCCCTGTCGACGTGTGTGGTGCTTAAGGAGGTGTCAGTTATCACACATGCCGTCCTTAACAATCTGAAGCGGCTCCTCGTAGTGATGTTTCTAGTGTTGGCTGGATCGAGGTCCCTGTCGCTCTCAAACCTTGGAGGACTTACTTTAGCAGTTTTGGGCCTTGGAATATATACTATGGGGAAGGATACCTCAACAGGTTTAAGAGTTGAAACAGGTAAGACATTGTGAGAACACACCAGTCATGGAAGATCATATTTGCCAGTGTACTATAGTTTATTATGCCTCAAAGTGAGATTGACCAATCAGAGAGCAGAACTACTAACCTCATATGAGCCCGTATACCGTCAGTAAAAATCCAAGATGGCTGTTACTGACTTCATATGACACCGTGTACCGTCAGTGACAGTCATCTTGGATTTTCCAACACCCACCGCACATATTTGACATGAAACGTCTGGTACCGAAATTCATTATTCGGTACTGTTTTGTGTTTTAATATCATTACTTGATGTGCAAGGACATTAATATGTTTTTTTAGATCACGTTCGTGACTTTATTGATAATGATTATAGTTACAATTGTCAACAAGGTTTGGCCTCTAAGGTCTGAAGAGTAGTCTCCCCTTGACCCTTAACGTCAACGGTTGTAAAGAGAGTGTCACGCTTTCGTTTTAACAAGACCTGTACGATATGGATCATATCAGATAGTGTAAACTTTTCGTGTCTTTAGTTGACGCCTCGCCCAATATTTCTGCAAACCTAATATGACACCGTATACGGCAACTAAAGACACCATAACTAATAATATAGCTCCGATAGAGAATACCGTCCCGGGTCATTATGACTTGTATTGGAAATGGACCCCTAATGCTAACAAAAAAAACATTAAACAATCCTCGTGCAGGATTCCATCTTGTAAAGGAAACGATTAAGTACCAGAGAAAGGTCAGCGTCTGTAATAATTGCGATTTCATAACAAAAAAAATCATTTTTAATATGAGGTGAGGAGAAATTGGGTTTAACGTCGCGTCCAAGATTATTGCACTTATATAGCGACGTGCATGCACGTGTATGTGTGTGTGTGGCTGCTTGTACTAGTCCGGACTGATGCCGATTTATAGTGCTAGCTCACTGAGATACCATGCCGCAGTTTAACATGAATACCCCACTCAGACACAGTATACTGACTCCGAGCCTTGTTTTAGCCCCTTAATGCCGAGCGCCAGACAGGGTAACAACAAGTACCATCTTTTAACGTCTTTTTGTATGACGCGGCCCGGGATCGAACCCTGCACCTTCCGCTCTCCGGGCGGACGCTCTACCACTAGACCACGGAGGCGGTCATTTTTTTAATATATTTTTTTAATATGAAGATAGCATGTCAATGGTTAATATTTACTTCATTATAAAGAACTGTTTTAACGTCTCTTTTTTTTTTATTGGCACTTTCAGGTCTCAAGTATCGAAAGCAAATACTGTTTCTTCTACTGGCACTAAGTTGCGGAGTATGCACAACACTAAGTCTTTCAGTTCAACCAGACAAACGGGAGCCTTATGAAAAGCTAAAAATAAACACCTCTCATTGGATGTCTGTCCTCAACAGGCTAGACAACATCACTCACGTCCGTCCAAGCATACAACCATCTCCAAACGCTTTCCAAACCTACCAGAAATGGAATTTAGTGGATCATCCTAACAAGACAGATTTCTACCTACCTTTCTTAACCAAAAGCAATGATCTTATCACTGAGATGCAACGTGTGCAGGTCAACATATTCCAAACTCTTCTAAGAAATTATAAATATGCATTTCTGTTTGACATTAACGCCTTTGAGAACAAAGGAGACCCTGCCATAACCGTCGGCGAAGTTTATCTCCTGAGACGCCTGGGCATTCAGCTCGTATACTACTGTAACACGTGTGTGTGTGAGGAAAGTGGGATCCTGGATAAAGCCCTCTCGTTAAGCAGAAACTACAGTAGAGAGAACACAGTTGTGTTGCTGCACGGAGGAGGCAATCTCATTGGCTATTTACAAAACGACGTTCTTCGGGACCAGATTCTAAGCCGTTTTTATGAGCATTTTAACATTTTGATGTTCCCACAAAGTATATGGCTAAAAGGAGGTCACCTCCCCGCGCACAGAATGGTGTATGTGAAAGAAATTTACCAAAAGTATCCAAATATTACATTCCTTTTAAGAGACAGGAAGTCCTTTGCTATAGGACGAGAGCTCTTTCCGAGGCAAACGCTGTTCTTAGTGCCAGACATCGTGTTTCAAATAGGATCTATCCCTAGGTTTATGTCTCCAATATACGACATACTGTGGCTCCGACGGGCTGATGATGAAACACCCAACTACACCATCCCGTCCTTAATGGGGCCTTACACTGTACACGTGGCAGACTGGACATCATTCATATCACCTAAAGGCGAGACGTCCATGGAGAATGCCTTTCTTCACACCAGTACTGGCGCCATGTTTCTTCAGAGAGGGCGAGTGGTCATTACTGACCGTCTGCACGGACATATCCTCTCCACACTGTGCGGAATCCCCCACGTCATGCTGGACAATCCTGCGCGAAAGCTGACGTCATTTCACGAGACCTGGACGAAAGGCTTGACCACATCGTTGATGGCCAAATCCAGTGAACAGGCATTGAAGCTAGCTGTTGATATTCTGGAAAAACGAAACCATTCTCTGCCCGGACTCATAGCTTATAACGACGTGAGAGAACATTTACCTTGAAGAACTACTAGAAAGGAAGAAACATAGTATTTCACTATCGGTCCGAGAAGAACAGACTAGTCAAAACAGAAATGCGGCACATTATTCGAGCAGAGGCCATATATCGGTAATCATATGTACATGAAACATACTAAACACATACGTTAGACATCCTTCAGACATTAATCAGACGTAAAATAGACATATACGTAAGACATCCTTCAGAGAACTATCAGACATAAGCTATACATCTACATTATACAGCCTTCAGACAATTATCAGACATCAGCTATACACATACGTTATACAGCCTTCACACAATTATTAAACAAAAGCTATACACATACGTTAGGCATCCTTCAGACAATTATTAAACAAAAGCTATACACATACGTTAGGCATCCTTCAGACAATTGTTAAACAAAAGCTGTACATCTACATTATACATCCTCCAGACGATTGTTAAACAAAAGCTATACACATACGTTAGGCATCCTTCAGACAATTGTTAAACAAAAGCTGTACATCTACATTATACATCCTCCAGGCGATTATCAGACAAAAGCTACACATCTACATTAAACATCCTCCAGACAATTGTTAAACAAAAGCTACACATCTACATTATACATCCTCCAGGCGATTATCAGACAAAAGCTACACATCTACATTAAACATCCTCCAGACAATTGTTAAACAAAAGCTGTACATCTACATTATACATACTCCAGACAATTATCAGACATAAGCTATACACATGCGTTAGACATCCTTCAGGCGATTATCAGATAAAAGCTATACACATACGTTAGACATCCTTCAGACAATTGTTAGGCGTAAACTAGACACGTACGTTACACATCCTTCAGACAATTATTAGACATAAGCTTTTCATATGCATTATACATCCTCCAGACGATTATTAGGGGTAAACTTGACACATACATTGGACATCCTTCAGACAATAATTAGACGTAAGCTATACACATACGTTAGACATCCTTCAGACAAGTGTGTGTGGGTGTGTGTGTATGTGTGTGTGTGTGTGTGTGTGTGTGTGTGTGCGTGCGTGCGTGCGTGCGTGCGTGCGTGCGTGCGTGCAACATCACGATTGTAAAGTGTTCTGTGGGACTTGTGCTAGCCTCTGATACTGGCATCGTATACACCTGGTGTAACAATGATTCGTTATTCATGACAGTTATTAATCCAGACAATTTGAGTTGAGGACGCCATCGCCCATATAATAGGTTTTTACTGTATATGAAATAATAGTTATTATCACATCGGCTACCACAACATCTAGGATCGTCTTTGAAACCTTTCCAATATAAACTATCCTTTAACACATTATCACCATGCCTTACCTAGATTTTCCTTCTCAAAACATTTGATAAATACACCAAGGCATGTGTGTTTCTTGGGTGTTGGCTGTCCTTGAAAATATATCATATAAGAGCTGGCTTGTAGGTTGTATAAGAACCAATTGTGTATGTCAATATATCTCTGAGATATGTATTATTTGATTATGATGCATTTTGTGAAATAGGGTCAATTTACGTTTTCTTCCAAAAATATTCTAGAGGCTCATATCCCGATTGTAAAGTGTTCTGTGGGACTTGTGCTTGCTTCTGATACTGTTACAGATTCATGATGAGTAAATTAATATGGTTTCATCTCGCATCAACAATTGTTTCAGTTGTCTGCAGCAAAACAATAATGATAGATTAATATCATTTTACCTATTTTCGTCATTTCTAAAGTTACTCCCATAGTTGCCTTTAATTTGTTGTAATCATCCCAAGATTACTCTTACGTTACAGACTTTAACTTGATTCTAATGAATGGATGGTTTAATAATTGTAATATATCGTTAATGCTCAACACCATTTACAGTAAACATGTGGCAATGAAGATGGAGGCCAAATGTAAGAAACAAAATTCGTTTGAATTGGTTACCACAAAGCTGTTTAGTTCAAAGAAAACTGCTACAGCTGTCTTCAAAAACACAAGATGAGGTACAAATTATGATATTATCAAAATTGGTCTAAATAGATCTTCAATAATTTATATTCATATAGGTATACATCTAGGTAACACGTGAGCAGTTCAGATATTAAAAGTTCGTTACAAACATTTACACTGCCAATGATGAGTAAATTAATATGGTTTCATCTCGCATCAACAATTGTTTCAGTTGTCTGCAGCAAAACAATAATGATAGATTAATATCATTTTACCTATTTTCGTCATTTCTAAAGTTACTCCCATAGTTGCCTTTAATTTGTTGTAATCATCCCAAGATTACTCTTACGTTACAGACTTTAACTTGATTCTAATGAATGGATGGTTTAATAATTGTAATATATCGTTAATGCTCAACACCATGTACAGTAAACATGTGGCAATGAAGATGGAGGCCAAATGTAAGAAACAAAATTCGTTTGAATTGGTTACCACAAAGCTGTTTAGTTCAAAGAAAACTGCTACAGCTGTCTTCAAAAACACAAGATGAGGTACAAATTATGATATTATCAAAATTGGTCTAAATAGATCTTCAATAATTTATATTCATATAGGTATACATCTAGGTAACACGTGAGCAGTTCAGATATTAAAAGTTCGTTACAAACATTTACACTGCCAATTGTGTATGTCAATATTTCTCTGAAATATGTATTATTTGATTATGATGCATTTTGTGAAACAGGGGCAATTTACGTTTTCTTTCAAAAATATTCTAGAGGCTCCTATCACGATTGTAAAGTGTTCTGTGGGACTTGTGATTGCTTCTGATACTGGCATCGTATACACCTGGTGTGAAATAACCTTGGTCTTTTTATAGACGTCTTGCACTTTTGGAGATCTTCTGCAATATTATGTTAAATGGATTGTAAAGGCGTCCAGTATATGAGGGGTTTAATGTACACAGGACTATTACGTCATTGTTCTGTCACTTAACTATGATTGAATGTACGAGATTACCTGTATGCCTTGTAAATCAAGCTATATGTAACATAACACCACAATTAAACTATTCAACAAGAACCTTGCACTATCGTTAAGTCAGTCCTCCCTTCGCCAAAATTATTTGATTTGCAGATTTTGCTTTTCGACAGTTAGCTCCCCAAGTAATCCGACATGGTTATATTATAATGAGAATTCATGGGTCTATAATTAGAGTCAACTATAACGGGTCGGGTGGTCAATTTCCGCAGACTCGGCCTGGATCGTTGCTTGTGTTTTCAGGTACTGGCTTTTTTGGTCCAGACTCAATTTACATACCTGATATCACTTCGTACTTTCCGATAAGCTGAGTTCAAATGGGGTTAAAGATAGTATTGTATTCATCTGTCTAAGTGTATACACGTATGTGTGTTTCTGCTTGTAGTAGCCCAGAGGTATGCCAGTTTGACAGTGCTCGCCCACTGTGATACCATGCGTGGTTTAATATGAATGCCATTCAGACACATTATACTGAAATATGGCCAATATATAAAGACATTGCACCTTACGGGTAGATGCTCTATCAACTAGACCACGGAGGATGTGTTTAAAATAAAAGTCAACCTCATGTTACTGTTTAATTGTGATGTCTCTTTATGGAAATAGTCATCTTCCCGAGGCAAGGGAGTTAACTGACTTTAAAAGTCCAGTTTCCACCCTTGCCGAACTAGGCTGGAATTACTGGGCTCGATCGTAGCGCCACCAGTGGCTATTACGAGTAATGTCCTTTCTATGCCTCTCCTAAGGACCAATCAGATTCCACCTCTCGTATCACTTGCGTTTGCTTCACACAAAATGGTTGCGCCCAGTCAGGACGATCTGATCGATAATCAATATCTGTATTGTGATAAAACGAGTCTTACAACGCGAAGTGCATCAAATCACGTGAGCACCTTGATTAAAAACATGAAAAGATTTAGAAAATATCTGTTGATAACGAGTTACCGGTGCACGTTCTTTGCAAATCCTGCAGTCGACCGAAATCTGCATGACACTTTACGAACCTGATTTCGATTTCGGTGCGCGATTTTGATTTGACTATGCATAGACTAGTTAGTCCAGCCAAAATGTAACTCCATAATACCAGCTTAGTTCGGCAAGGGTGGAAATTGTTCCCTTCAAACGTAATGTAAAAACATGTTAATGAAGCTTAGGATCCATAGACTTTACTTTTGTTACAACAAAATACCAAAGACATAATGACACATACTGACGAGATACCCCAATTATCATCTGTTTAATGTTCAATCTAAAGCTCGATTAAGCCCTGACCCAATCACACACCCTGCCGTCACCCACACCCCTCCCTCCAACCCCCACACCAGCCTTCAGCTGTGTCCCGTTAGTGTCTGGGCTGTTCTTGGACCCATATCTGTTTTGATTTATACACGCAAGTCAATAGAATCATAGGTGATGTGTGATCCGATGGTATCCCAATTGCCAATATAATGTGAAAACATGTTACCGAAGCTGAGGATCCAAAGACGTTGTCACAACAATCTATCATACACAAAGCACCGTTTACTGGAAGCGATGTGCAAGAAACACCATTGCCATTTATTGTGATTGATGTAGGCGACATTGAAGAAAGACAGACTCAGTCTTTTATGGGATCATGCTACTCGTCAGTGTTGAACTTCTTCAAGGGAAGGTTTCCATGTTTTAGATGAATAGTTTATTAATAAGTGTCCAACATAAACCCACCATGAACTCATTTGTGGCATCATTTCTGAAATATCAAGTACAATGTTAGACTATTTAATTTCTAAACTTTGTTTTTATGAAGAGAATTTCTTGTCCGGATGTCTCAATGTGTTCGGGGGCACGGGTGGCCCAGTCGTCTAAGGCGCCGCGATTCGCTGTGCAGAGTTGCGTCCCTTGGCACGCCAGAAACCTATGATTGTGGGTTCGAATCCCGGTTTGCCCCGATTATGTTTCTAGGTTTGTCAGCACCATATCCGTGCTCGTGGGTTTCACCGAAGTGGTTAGCGTCTGAGACCTGCATCACTTCGGGCTTTCCTCCCACATTAAGCTGACACGCTGTGATATAACTGGAATACTGTTAAAAGCGGCGTTAAACCCAACTCACTCACTCACTCGCTTAATGTGTTTAGTGGGTTCTGTTATACCTGTATAAAATAAAATGTTTGTTACAGTGTTGAGAGTTATACTCTGAAATAAATGTTTGTTTGAAGAGTTGAGATTTATACTCTGAAAAAAAAATGCTTTCTTCAAGTGTTGAGATTTACTGATGAAAATCAATAGGTTCAGAGAAAAAAACAAATTTGGAGACACTTACCCCAAATTTCTTATAAAGACAATAATAATTCACAAGCTTCTCAACAGCGAACCAGCACCGCTGACATTTTCGGTCAAATAAAGATCAGTTGGAGAAAAATATTTAAGTAAAACAGTAGGTTCAGAGAAGAAAATATTTGGAGATATATACCCTAAATAAGGGAGAAATACAATACAGGCGACAGGAATCTTCCATAATGATAAAAAATCTTCTCCCAGAACAGTCCACTGTACAATTCCGACAATGTCATAAGCATGAATCATCATCAAATAGTGATGATGCCAGGTGTTTGCGAGAAGGCGGGGGTATCCTGCCCCACCAGTGGCATCTGTCACAAACACATGCAAAGGCAAGTCACCCGCATTAAAATCTTGCAACGGCTCTACTAAGTAAACGTGGGTCTGCACATGACAAGTATAAAAGTCTCAAAGTGAGAGAGTGAGTTGGATTTAACGCCAATTGAACAGTATTCAGGTGATATCACGACTTGTCAGCTCACTGTGGGAGGAAAAGTGATGCATGTCTCAGACGTTTACCAGTTTGGTGAAACCCACAAACACGGGTATGGTGCTAACGTTTGCTATTTTCCTGTTCCACCATGGTACCGAGTTTTGACGGTTTTGTGGGCTTTTTTTGTAATTGATTTTTCGGCTGCGGCAATAAATGCAGCGGTGTGGTGTGGACGAAAAATGTCAGGATTATCCAAAGCATTTTTTGAGGATGTGAATGATGTACGTTCCTTCCTGAATTTGGGCTGAGGATTACACTGTTCCTCTAATGGTGATGGGCTTCTTTTGTTGGTGAGTATGGGAAGGTGGTCGCTTCACCAAGTGTCATCATGGACTTGCCGTTGGCAGTGTGAGGTGCATCTTCCCGAGGCAAGAGAGTTAACTGACTTAAAAAGTCCAGTTTCAACCCTTGCCGAACTAGGCTGGAATTACTGGGCTCGATCGTAGCGCCACCAGTGGCTATTACCAATTATGTCCCTTCTAAGCCTCTCCTAAGGACCAATCAGATTCCACCTCTCGTATCACTTGCGTTTGCTTCACACAAAATGGTTGCGCCCGGTCAGGACGATCTGATCGATAATCAATATCTATATTGTGATAAAACGGGTCTTACATCGCGAAATGCATCAAATCACGTGAGAACCTTGATTAAAAACATGAGAAGATTTTGAAAATATCTGCTGACAAACGAGTTGGTGGTGCACATGCTTTGCAAATCCTGCAATCGCCCGAAATCTGCACGACAGTTTACGAACCGGATTTCGATTTCGGTGCGTGATTTTGATTGGACTATGCATAGACTCGTTAGTCCAGCCACAATGTAACTCCATAATACCAGCCTAGTTCGGCAAGGGTGGAAACTGGACTTTTATAGTCAGTTAACTCTCTTGCCTCGGGAAGATGTGTGAGGTGGGGCTCTAAGTGGCAGTTGATAGGTCAACTGAACTCCACGCGTTGCGGACATGGTCATAAGTTGTGGGACTACCGTTGTCTTAGAGTTATGAAATTGTCGTCTTCAGCCCAATTCCCTACGATTTTGCCGAATTTGCACGAATCCTCCCTGTCTTCCCCAAAAGGCCTGTGGGCATTAAAGTCACCAAGGATTATCCCATTTTTGCCTACTATTTCAACTAGTCTCGTTAGCTCTTCCGTTTTTGTTTTATGGGTAACCCTGTGGCATACGTTAGCTATGCGTAATGCATTGCCATTTGCCAGTTTTATTTCAATTTGTTTTACTTACTTCTAAATGGTTAACTAATCTAATTCAACCTCTTTATGTAAAACACCAGCCGTAATTGCTGATAAATAAAAAGAATCATCATCCTTAAACCTGTCATCGTGTTAGACGGGCGTGACTTCGACCTGGGGTAATCTTCCATCAGCGTCGTTCCATCTAATCCTCATCATTCCGCCATCCTTTGCCAAGCATAATGAAGCTTATGAAACTTCATGCCTGCTTGGTCATGCAAAGCAAACTGCAGTTACCTGCTGCACATGTATGTAAATGCAGTTCAAAAGGATAATAGATTGCATACAATTTTGTTTATTTGTTAGTTATAGATTCATGATGAGTAAATTAATAGGGTTTCATCTCGCATCAACAATTGTTTCAGTTGTCTGCAGCAAAACATTAATAATAGATTAATATAAGTTTACCTATTTTCGGCATTTCTAAAGTTACTCCCATAGTTGCCTTTAATTTGTTGTAATCATCCCAAGATTACTCTTACGTTACAGACTTTAACTTGCTTCTAATGAATGGATGGTTTAATAATTGTAATATATCGTTAATGTTCAACACCATTTACAGTAAACATGTGGCAATGAAGATGGATGCCAAATGTAAGAAACAAAATTCGTTTGAATTGTTACCACAAAGCAGCTTAGTTCAAAGAAAACTGCTACAGCTGTCTTCAAAAACACAAGATGAGGTACAAATTATGATATTATCAGAGTTGGTCTAAATAGATCTTAAATAATTTATATTCATGTAGGTATACATCTAGGTAACACGTGAGCAGTTCAGATATTAAAAGTTCGTTACAAACATGCACACTGTCGTTGACAGTGTACACACCGACCCACACAGTGAGTTCGATATAGCCGTATTTGTTATAAGCATGTCCATCAACTATATATATCAAGTTTACATGATGAAATATATAGAAAATGGCCGGGACAAAAAAATCAGTTTATATCCGTCCGTTCGTTATAAGTGTGTTCGTAATAATAAACGTAATTTACTGTACCTTTTTTCATAAAAAATAAAGCATGCGGTGTTTATCATTAAAAAAACAACAACTATCATACAACATAACAATATATCATATAAATAATTATTGAATCCATTATTTAGATATATAGCAAGGACAACATGCATGAATGAACGAACGAACGAACGAACGAACGAATGAATGGACGCATTTTATAACAAACAACAACACACTTGATTATTGACTTACTGTATGTTGTATATAGTTATAGCAGTTAATTTAGGAAATGTTCAATGGTCAATAGCATAAAATATTTGAACATTAATTGTTATAGAGCATGCAGAAAAAAAGCTTCAGTTAGATCATGATTACCGTATTCGACGTAATAAGCGCCCCGCTCTAATAAGTGCTCACGGCGACATTTGCTAATATATTGGCTGGTGAACAATCCCAATTAGCACCCCTTCCGATTGATCAATGTACACAAGACTTATTTATTCGCGTATAATACGCACTCGTGTGTTATATGCATCCTTAATTATGGGCTAATAATTTCTGGAAAAATATATCTGTCCTACATAAACACTTCAGGCTGTCAGCATAAACCACGAAAATTATCTTTCAACACTGTTTTTTCACCAAAAAAGCCCCCTATTTCTAATTTTGAGAGCGCCCTGGGCGATTATTAAGTCGAATACGGGAAGACGTTCGTTACATGTGTGTCATAACTGCATTTGTCTGCAAGTCACCTGAAACAAGAGAAAATAACAAACAGTTACATTGCTGTATCAAATAAGATCTTGATTTTATTTTTGTCCCAACATACATTTCTACTGCCAGATGGAAAAAATCATATCAGTACAACACGATATTCTAAATAATTCAGAAATGGTTTTGTAAAACGACACTATCATATACAATTGAATCTGTTTAAAATATTTGCCAATACCGGACCAAGTTTATAGTCCCAAATTCAAAACACTAGTTTATCAGCAATCAAACTTGGCCTAAACCGTGCTGATATTGTGGGGAAAATGACTAATTTATCAAGCAAATAACGCTCATAATCAGGATTAATGTTTCACGTATCCGGTAAGCTGTTCCAATCAATAAGCTATCACATATTATGAGCTATTGTTCAAATAACATGGTGATGAAACATAACATATATTGGCACACTTTCCGTGACTCAAGAACTTGCCAATATGATTACGACCCTTTTGCCCCCTAAAGAAGCCTCATTGGAAATAATTTGACCCATGTCGTCGTTTTTCCTAAACAAATATCATTGTGAAATTGTTTCCAAGTAATTTATGTGATATGAAATCTAGAAACTGATATTTCTTGGTCTTTGAAAAACAAACTGCACGTCTGATATGCACCAACTCTGCCTATTTAATGACACTACTTTTTGTGTTATGTTAGGAAATATCCCAACCACCTGGCTGGGCAGCTGCAAACATGTTCTGTTAGAAGCTGTATTTTTTAGAGTAACTTACTGACAAGCAACATACTGCTATTATGGTACAAGACATCTTTTTGATATTCTACATTTTTAGTCACTCACCTTGCATTAAGACACGAATACACTGTAAATAGTTCATTCTGGTGTTAAAAGGTTTTAAAGTTTCATGTTGACGTACCACTTGTTTATCTGATTACTTTTAGACTTGGCTAGGTGGGAATGGAACAATAATTACACTCTTACTTGCCAGTGATATTTGTTTGTGGTTTATAGTATATGTTACTTATAGAACATTTCTTTTCAAATACGATAGGATGGTTACAATGTGTAACTCGAGTGATTGTGTGTCATTATGCCGCGATACCGGAGGTCGTTCTTCATGTTTTCAACCAATGGATTGCCTTGCTTTAGACTCCATTATATCATCTTCCCGAGGCAAGGGTGTTAACTGACTATAAAAGTCCAGTTTCCACCCTTGTCGAACTAGGCAGGAATTATGGATTTATATCTTGGCTGGACTAACGAGACTATGCATAGTCCAATCAAAATCGCCTAACGAAATCGACATCCGGTTCGTCAACTGCCGTGCTGATTTCGGTCGATTGCATGATTTGCAAAGCATGTGTCCCGCCACCTCGGCGTCAACGGATATTTTCTAAATATTTTCATGTTTTCAATCAAGGCTCTTCTCGAAGTCAGGACCGTTTAATTACAATATATACTCAACAACAAAAGTTCCTGTGACACCAATATTTAAGTGTATTTTTCAAACAAGTAAAGTTTGGTTTTCAATATTGTAGTACATGTATTGAATCAAGTCACAAAAACGCAACTGTAACAGAAAAGCATGCATTCCATGCAAAAGTTGACTTTTATGCAAGCCCCATGCATTTCACTACCTAAGAATGGGTAAAAAAACATGTGCGTTAACGGGATTCCATATGCATTGTTTAGGATCGTGCTGACAACCACTCAGAAAAACAACAAAATTACGCAATTATTCAACATTACGAAATGCCACGCCTGTCCGAAAATGAGCGTCTGCGTGCCATTGGTATGCTTGAAGCAGGATCGAGTCATTGGATGTTTTGCAAGACAATTTAACGTCAACAGAAACACCATTTGGTGTTTATGGCAACGTTGGCAACAGACGAATGCAGTCAGAGACCATCCTCGGAGTGGCAGGCCACGCGTAACCAATAATCAACAAGACAACTGGATTCGAACAACACACCTTTGAAATCGATTCCAGCCAGCAACAGTGACTGCAAGAAGCACCCCTGGCCTTCGACGAATATCTTCACAAACCGTACGTCGTCGCCTCAGATGTGCAGGGATTGTCGCCAGAAGACCCGTCAGACGTCCCATTTTGAAAGGAAACCACAGTCAAGCACGTCTACAGTGGTGCAGACAGCGTCTACGCTAGACGGCCATGCAGTGGAGACAAGTTTTATTCACTGACGAGTCTCGTTTTCACCTCAGGCACAGCGATGGACGGATTCGAGTGTACCGACGTCGAGGTGAACGTTACGTCAATCATTGTGTCATGGAAGAAGATCGCTTCGGTGGCGGCAGCGTTATTGTATGGGATGGGATTTCAGCAAGACATAGGACCCGTTTGATAGTGGTAGAGGGAAATCTCAATGGACAGCGCTACCGCGACGAGATCATCGACCCTGTTGTTCAACCGTTTTTGCGTCGTCATGGCCCAGGCATTACCTTTCAACATGACAACGTCGGGGTCATATTTCTCGACTTATTCAGGAATCTCTTCAACAAAACAACCTGAATGTCATCCCCTAGCCGGCTCGCTCCCCTGATCTCTCACCAATCGAGCACGTGTGGGATGAGATGGATCGGCGCCTTCGACGTCAACCACGTGACCACAGACACTCCAGGAACTTCGAAACATGCTCCAGCAGATATGGACAGATATCCCACAGGACTTTGTGCGAAGCCTAGTCCATTCCATGAGACGAAGATGTGTTGCTTGCATCGCAACCAGAAATGGACACACACGCTATTGATTTGTAAATTGACATTTTGGCATGTTCATGTGTGGCAAATTAAACCATTGGAACACTTACAGGAGTCTTTTATCTGGTGCAAACCGAAATTGTTTCAGATTTGGTACAAAACATAACTTTGCATTAAATCTTATTCAATGTCACAGGATCGATCAGACCTTCCTGACTGTGCGCCGCATTTTGTTTGAAGCAAATGCAAGTGATAAGAGAAGTGGAATCTGATTGGTCAATAGGAGGGACATAGATGGGACACAACTCGCAATAGCCACTGGTGGCGCTACGATCGAGCCAAGAAATTCCAGCCTAGTTCGGCAAGGGTGGAAACTGGCCATATACATTCAGTTAACTCCCGTGCCTTGGGAAGATGCCACTTTACTAGTATATAAAGCGCAGTGACTTACCTGGAATGTTGCTGACCGCGACATAATCATTATAACATTATGTAAATTTACTTATAAAAAATCACCTTTATTGCGCCACGTGTTGTCTGTCGGTGTCTTTTCCTCCTTGGTTTCTTGTTGTATGTCACCGTGCACCATTTTCCGGAGATCAAAATGTAGCCACCTAAAATAACGCATACTAGTAAGTATACAGTGCAAGTAGGTATGTTCCTTTATTTCGTGAAAACTAGTTAAGCATCAGAGTAAAATGTTTGTGTGTACGAATTCACGTTTATCAGACCGGCACCAGGAAAGTACATATGCCACTCACAGCATGATGGCTTCAGCGATGACACACAGACCAGCGGCCAACAGGAAGCTGAACCCTGGGAAGAAAGCCAGGGATGCTGGGTAGAGTTCATTGAAGAGGAGGGATGCCAACATGCTTGCGATGCTTTCCACAGCAGCCACCACCCCAAACAGTCGTCCTTGCAACAGAAAGGCAGACAATCAGATGCTTAGCAATTGCATACATGTGTTTATATATATACTGAGAGGCAAGGAAAACGCATACCAAATTTAAACTTGCATATTTTTTATATTTCAAAGCATGTGGAAAGGATCATTGTGTGCAACAGGTCAGAGTCAGCGCTGAGACGGGAAATCGTCATGTGATAATGGCGTCACAAAAACGTCGTATGATGCTGGGGCCTGTACAGTCAATATGGAGAGTGACTCCCTCGGGCGGCCATGCAAGCTTGACGTCTACAGAGGATGGATGAACACAAGCAGTGGATGGATGGATGGAACTCTAAGGCTCCAGAAAGGTCTTCATCACTGCGTGAGGGCGTATATGATATCGAACACGATGACCAAGTTCTTCACATATGCTCGATTAGATTCATATCTGGTGTTCGAGAACTGCAAGACGGCCGCATGGTTCTTTCTTATGAATCTTGTGTAGTCCGGCCGGGGGTGATTGACGACGATGTACCAGTCTTTCTGTCGTCACACACTGTGCAACAGGACGAAGACGATCGCTCCCCCTTCCCGCTGCTCTGTAAACTAAAATGTGTCAAGCAACCCACCACTGACTGATTCCGCTATTCAGGGCACCGATGGGTTGCATCCTCTGATCATTCGTTGGACACGCATTGTAATGCCGACAATCTCTGCTTTTCAAGGTCATGGATACAGATGTTGCAAATAGACCATGTTCATTTATCCACTGCGTATCGTGTCCATGGTTTTGTCATATGGCCACGCTCAGACTCGGATTCGACCAAAATCAAACACCATAAACAGACACCCGTCATGCATTTTTTGCTTACCTTTTACTCACCGTTTGCGTTGGAGAACAGTCTTAAATTTACTCTTTAATTCATAAAACCGCATATGATTTCATTGCCTCTCTGTATATTTTGTAATAGGTCAAGTTCATTGGACATACTTGGATTGTGGTGTAACTAGAAGGTAAAAATAACCTCCATTTTCTTCTACAGTGAATATATATTAATTTACAAGTGAGTGAGTGAGTATAGCTTTTAGCAATATTCCAGCAATATCACGGCGGGGGACACCAGAAATAGACTTCACACATTGTACCTCTATCGGGAATCGAACCCGGGTCTTCGGCGTGACTAGGCTACCCGACCGCCCCTATTTATGTACTACATAATCCTAATCATTAATACAAAACTAACTATAATACAAAACGAAAACGAATTTGGTTTCCGTGCCATGCTGAAAAGAATTTAATTAATCATAGCGCCGCCCTGCACACCGTGCATACCATAATCTTAGACTGATCGTCTATGAAATGTAAACATGGATTCGGTTATCAACCTGTCTAGCCTTGCTATAGGCTACCTCGGTAGCTGTGACTAAACAGTTACTTTGTTCGGCCTGACTGCCGACATCAGATATGATATACGCCTTACCCTGTCCAGCTTGACCATCTAAAACAAATACGACATCATTAAAGGGGCACTGATCTAAAGCAATTCCCCGGGACTAGTTGTTGCCTTTGTTATTGTTTTTTCCCAGTGAGTACCCGGATGTATAGCAGATATCTAGACTAGTTCGCGACCTCTGCTGCGCCATTCGTAAGCGCATTAGTCACTTTTATGGGTAGTAATAAGGGCGTATGGTCATGAAATAGAGTTTTCGAGATAATAAGGAAATGTAGGTATCTTTGTGGGTAGCATCGGTAATGGTGACGAAGTTATGATAAGTCACTTGCTTGGTAATTGCTTGGCGATTGTGGCTATAAGTTTAGCCTGTTCCACTTTGCAGTGTGCATCAGATACGATCTGAGCGTTTCTCTGTTATAAAGCCTTGCTAACAACATTAGGCATGGGTTAGGCCTTACCCTTTTCAGCCTGGTTAATCACATCATGCCTTAGCTAAGGCTGGCTAACAATATCATAGTCTGGAATGGAAGTCGCAAATTAGAAACTGGTGACGCAACGTTTAAGAAAGCTGCTTTCTAAGTGGCTAACGTTGACGTCCTGTTAGTCATTGCCATTCGTCACTACTCGCCGCTTTCCGTAACCTGCAAGAAGCTTGTCCCGGAATAACGCGAGTTGGTCACGAATGAGTCATAGCTCGTGAAAGGTTGTTCTGATGTGACCTTTAATGGGATGTCCTCGGCGATAGCGTGAACTTGTATCTGATTTGAATGAGATTGAGGTAATCTAAGCAAGTGATTTATCCTGTTTTCTTTATTCAAAGCATTAATTGTTTATTTATTAAGCAAGTTTATCTCTGCAGCCGTTGTGATATGCAGCCACCAGCCGACTCGTCTTGCATCATAACACGGGCTGTGTATGGCGGGCAGATGACCACGGAATACGCTGATCACTGTGTCGGATTAACGAGACTGATTAATGAGTGATTTCGGTAATTCGTCGTAAATTAGGTGTGTCGGAGTCGGAGTGCGAGACTGTCGGATTAACGGGTCTGAATAGCACTGATTAAATCGGTTCCCATCATAAGTGTCGGATAAAGCCGATTGTCGGACTAACGAGACTTGACTGTACATTGCATGCCTTACCACGTTCAGTAGATATGATCTAAGTATGTTAAACACGATCTTCACCTTACCCCGTTCAGTTCACTGTTTGATCTTAGCCTTACCCTGTTCAGCCTGGCTGACCATACTGGACATCAGTGACCGAACAATAGCTGCTGGAAAGCCTTGAAACATGGCAAATATTACCACTGAAACATAAAATCATAATGTTAGGTCATGGATCAAATGCGAATACCTAACTTAAATGATTTTTGATGTTTATATACATAGATGTTTATAAATTCAACATCTGAAATGATATTCAGAACAATGCAATATCAACATGATTAGAGTCAAGCCCTGTAAACATATACGTGTTGAAAGTCACCTAGAAATACAAGCCATGTCCACGGGCTGAGACCAATCATCACCAGGCCGATGATCTTGGACACCAGGCCCCATAGTCCTAAAGTGGTGTCTCTCATCTTCCTGCATAGAGGCATAACTGTGACCAGGGTAAGACTGCGAGTGAAGTTCTCCAGACCCTTATAGTAACCGAACGTTGTTGAAGTCCAGCTGAGAGGAGCTCGCCTTGTGTACAGGAAAAGGACGTCAATTTCACCTGAAGAATAACCAGACATCAAATATGAACACCCACTTACTTGTTCAGGAAAAGGGTAAAGCATGTCCTGCCCTATCCGACGCACCGCCACTCACACAGTTCGCAGTTTACGAATCACGTTTGTTGCCTGATAGCGCATATCTTCCCGAGGCAAGAGAGTTAACTGACTGTAAAAGTCCAGTTTCCATCATTGCCGAACTAGACTGGAATTCCCGGGCTCGATCGTAGCGCCACCAGTGGCTATTACCAGTTATGTCCCTTCTGAACCTCTCCTATGGACCAATCAGATTCCACCTCTCGTATCACTTGCGTTTGCTTCACACAAAATGGCGGCGCCCAGTCAGGACGATCTGATCGATGATCAAGTTGTATATCGTGATAAAACGGGTCTTACATCGCGAAATGCATCAAATCACGTGAGCACCTTGATTAAAAAACATGAAAAGATTTGGAAAATATCTGCTGACAACGAGTTGGCGGTGCACATGCTTTGCAAATCCTGCAATCGACCGAAATCTGCATGACACTTTACGAACCGGATTTCGATTTCGGTGCGTGATTTTGATTAGACTATGCATAGACTCGTTAGTCCAGCCAAAATGTAACTCCATAATACCAGCCTTGTTCGGCAAGGTTGGAAACTGGACTTTTATAGTCAGTTAACTCTCTTGCCTCGGGAAGATGGATAGCGCACAGCAGTACCCCTGACATGCGATGGCGGTCTGTAAACAAACCAGACAACCATGCGATCGATGGACCAGAAAATCCAGTGACACGAAAGCGTATTTACTGATTTGGTTGAAAAGTAAACCATGGATTCACTCACATGATGTTCCAAGTTCAAGTATGACGAAGACAACAAGCAGAATGAAGATATAGAGATTTCTCTTCTCCTGCCTCTTCTTCATCACACAACGACCAGACTCCTTGATGGAGGACAGACACAAGTAAGCGCAGATGCCTTCACCCTCGGGTCTTGTGTTGGCTGTGATGTTCTCTAGACGTATGATAGCGTATAACATTCCTAAAAAGAAGCTTCCAGTTATGAACGCGAAGACGAATACGAAGCTTGTATTGTCCAGCATGACTCCTGATACAAACACCCCAACTGTTGCAGCAAAGAATGTCATGGACTCCAGGATCCCTATTCGCACCGTTTTATTGGCGGGATCAGCAATGTGCGTCACGTAGCTGTACACGGACATCAACAGAGCTGAAAAAGCACCGGACAACCCATTTACAGCAAACCCGATATACATGTATTCTTCTTTTATAGATGGAAAGATTGACATGATTAAGTAGGTGACGGAAGCCAACATTGCTCCACAACATGGGAGTATTACTGGCAGCTTCCGACCCATTTTATCACCCCAGGGTCCAAGAAAGAACACAACCATGAAGCATGACGGAACAAGTTCCACAACATTTTTCTTCAAAATCCAGTAGGACGTTTGTGACTGGACATAATCCTCTTCTGTTTTGTGGTCCTCCTGGAACGTCTTGTTCTGCAGACTGGTGCAGAAAGTCTCGTTGTAGCTGTTAATGCAGATCTTGTTGTACACAAAGGCCTGGAAGGTTGGGTATGTCAGAAAAGATCCGATCATGTAAAGAAACAAAACTGGTTCAACTGTTATGAGGTTCAGATCAAACTGCCGTCTGCCACATCTAATAACGGCCATTTTGCGTCCACAGAGAGTCATAAACCTGCGAAAGATAATATATTTCAATGATAAACAAGAAGATTGTTTTTGTCGATGTAATGTTACATAAATGTTGCTTATTCCATGTATTACTGACATAAAATTTGCAAACGGGTTGAACATCATCACCAGATATTTCCAAAGAATCATATTTCACTTCACTGTCAGCAAATATAGATGGCTAACAAAACGTCGAACAGCAAATTGAAAGATTAGAGTAAGTGTGTGAGTTGGGTTTAACGCTGCTTTTGACGGTATTGAGAGTATATCACGGCATGTCAGCTTAATGTGGGAGAAAAGCACGAGGCGATACAGGTCTCAGACGTTTACCACTTCGGTGAAACCCACGAGCACGGGTGTGGTGCTGACAAACCTAAAAACATAATCGGGGCGAACCGAGATTCGAACCCAGAATCATAATTTTATGGCGTGCGGGATGCAACTCTGCACAGCAACTTAGAGATGACGACACGTGTGACTGATGATGATATGCTAATCGTTGATAATACTTAAAGCCAATATACAAATGACAATAATATAACACGAATTCCGCAAAGACAAAATCCGTGCAGATTATTTGAGTGTAATTCGATTTAGCGATACCAATAAGTACTTTGCTATAAATAGTCGTAGTGAAAGATTAATGCGCAGCCTGGCCAGATATCTCTGTAAGCAAGCCGTAAAATAAACAAAACTATTTGGCCATGACATTATTATGCTGTACTCACGCAGTCGAGTGTACTTTCACAAACTTCCAGCTTTGCCGAAAAGTAGACCATCATTTGTCACTATGACATTTTCATTATTACCTGTGTGCTTCAATACCCGTGTGCTTCAATACCCGTGTGCTTCATTACCTGTGTGCTTCAAAACATGAGTGCTTCAATACCTGTGTACTTCAAAACGTGTGCTTCAATACCTGTATACTTCATTACCTGTGTGCTTCATTAGCGGTGTGCTTCAATACATGTGTGCTTCAAAACGTGTGCTTCAATACCTGAGTGCTTCATTACTTGTGTGCTTCAAAACCTGTGTACTTCAATACCTGTGTGTTTCAATACCTGTGTGCTTCAATACCTGTGTGCCATTTGGTATTCTTACTGTACATATAGCTTCGTCCAAGTATATGTGTGCTACTTGTTATCTATTACGTGTTGTTATTGTTAATCTGCTTATCACGAAATATCATGTATGTACACGTCTCGTCACATGGTTGTAGTCACACCAGCTTGATAACGTTGTGAGAATCAGCCTGGTTCCCTGGGTATGCTGCGCTGGCGCTTCACTGATCTGTGCATTCGTCACCACTCGCCCCTTTCCGTAACCTGCAAGAAGACTCGTCCCCCTATCGATGAATGTTATGTGCGAAAATACGACAAACCAATCAGAATGCGCGTATGATTTCAAGTTCTTCGTCAAAGAATCCATCAGAAATAATTTTTGATTTTACATATGTCTTGCATCTAAAAATATACTCAAGACACAGTTAAATGTGTTCAAGCATACTGTATAACTTCGCATATCTCGATGTGCTTTAAATTGCACCTGAAATATATATAATATATGGGGAAAGATATGTGAACCATTACGCAACGAGTTGACAATTGTTTTAGGTATGCCCGTTTGCGCTAAGACGGAACCCGGTCGCAAAAATGGCCATGAGAGGGGCACGAGTCGCTTTTCGGCTTGTCCCGGAATAACACGAGTTGGTCACGAATGTGATCTGTGTAGCGCCAGCGCAGCATACCCAGGGAACCAGGCTGTGTAACAATTTACATCTAAACGTCGCTACATGCAATAAACCAAACTTTGTTATCCATAAAGTTGTCTTATGTTTTCTTATTAACTCGCTAACTTCTGTAAAGTCAATCAAACAGTTTTATATAAAACATATTTTGTTTTAAATTTTCAGGGATAATACTTATTTCATGAAATAGGGCTACTATTCAAAAATACTTCCTGAGGTCTCATTTTAAAGATTTTTTACTTTCTCCCAGAATCAATTAGCACGTCGCCCCTAAAAAAAACAGGGGAGACAACTCTCAAAATTTCAGATAACTTACCATTCATCACCACTCGCCCCTTTCTGTAACCTAAAAGAAGAGTCGTCCCCCTCATTCGTGACCAACTCGTGTTATTCCGGGACAAGCCGAATAGCAGGTTACGGAAAGGGGCGAGTGGTGACGAATTTCGTCCCCCTTTCGATGAATGTTATGTGCGAAAATACGACAAACCAATCAGAATGCGCGTATGACTTCAATTACTTCGGCCAAAGAATCCCTCAGGAATAATTTTTGATTTTACATATGTCTTGCATTTAAAATATACCCAAGATACATTTAAATGTGTTTAACAATACTGTATAATAATGGAAGTCCCAATATGTTTTCAGTAGCATTCAGGAATACATATGATAAATGGGGGAAATATACGTGAATCATTACGCAACGAGTTGTCAATTCTTTTAGCGATGCCCGTTTGCGCTTAGACGGAACCAAGTCGAATAAATGGCCACGAAAGAGGCACGAGTTGCTATTCGGCTTGTCCCGGAATAACACGAATTGGTCGCGAATGATAACTTACCTCAATGCTCTTTATTCAGGTGTGTTTGTTGGACATCGGCCCATATTACATTGTTACAGCAATTACAGCCGTTTGTCTGCAAGAGCGAAGATGACTAACATGAAAGATAAACAATGTTTCTTATTATAACAGGATTGGTGAATGACACTAATGTGTTAAATTTATACAGGGATGGATATGTAAAATATTTATCAGAAATATAAATTTTACGTAGGTTATCATAAGCAGTACATGTCAATAGGAAATGGTATTCGTTTTCTATGTATCCACAGGAGCACATTTCACAAAGTCTGGGGCTTCTACGGCTTATTCGTATACAGTGGGTGATGAGTACGGTTTTACGCCGCTTTTAGCAATATTCCAGCAATATCACGGCGGGGGACACCAGAAATGGGCTTCACACATTGTACCCATGTCGGGAATCGAACCCGGGTCTTCGCCGTGACGAGCGAACGCTTTAACCACGTCACACACACACACACACACACACACACACACACATACATAGATACATGCAATTATGTATTTAAAATAAGAAGCTATCTGATCATGCATTAAACAGCAATAATAATAATACCAAGTAAACCCTCACCTATCACAATGAGCAGAACCGTAGATGTGTTATCTGGTCGTGAAACAATTGTAATGTGCTCTGACCCCGACCCGCGAGGAGACCCTGCTTGGTCCATGTGTGGCCAGGTTATCACAGAGGGTTTGCTTTGTAAATAATGGCTTCCAAAACAAACACATCCCATAATCACTACGAGTGAGTGAGCGAGAGAGTGAGGGTTGGTTGGTTTGTTGTTTTACGCCGCACTCAGCAGTATTCCAGCTATATGACCACGGTCTGTAAATAATCGGGTCTGGACCAGACAATCCAGTGATTGATATCATGAGCATCGATCCACGCAATTGGGAGTGATGACATGCATCAACCAAGTCAGCGAGCCTGACCGACCGATCCCGTTAGTCGCCTCTTACGACAAGCATAGTTCCTGGATCTTCACGGGTCTAGAGGGAGGGAGGGAGGGTGGGTAGGTGTGGGTGAGTGAGTGAGTGAGTGAGTGAGTGGGTGGGTTGGTGATTGAGTGATTGAGTGAGTGAGTGAGTGAGTGAGTGAGTTATTGTCACATCCGCAGAATTCAAGCCATATCGTGACATACGCTTAGTTAAAACAACAAAGTCAAATTACCCACTGATGTAGTGTTATACTCCAGGAGTAGGAATTATATGGAAAGTAATAAACCGAGAGAAATTAAGCTAGGAAGGGTGCCTGCATTTTGGTTATCCCAAATATGTGAATTCCACATAAACTTACCAGAACAGGCACTATTTTTAGATATACCACTGAACACACACGCAATCATCCACACGAAGAGTGAGTGAGTGAGTTGGGTTGAACGCCGCTTTCAACAGTATTCCATTTATATCGGCGTGTCAGCTTAATGTGGGAGGAAAGCCCGAAGTGATGCAGGTCTCAGATGTTTACCACTTTGGTGAAACCTACGAGCACGGGTATGGTGCTGACAAACCTAGAAACATAATCGGGGCGAACCGGGATTGGAACCCACAATCATAGGTTTCTGAAGTGCCCAAGGGACGCAACTCTGCACAGCGAATCGCTGCGCCTCAGACGACTGGGCCACCCGTGCCCTTTCCACACGAAGAAACCACACGACTGCGGTTCGTCAGCCAGAAGACTACGATCGCGTTCTGTTAGACATTTACTAAAACTTGGTTGACCTGCTAAATATTGAGCAAGTTAAAAAAATTAAGATCATTTAAAAATATTACTGCTGAAATGATTAAATAGTATGACATGTACATGTATGCACTGTTTATGTTATATAAATAAATATTCTGACACATGTCGACATATGTTATACATGTTAACATGTGAAAATAAAATAATTCTAATTTTGTCATTCAGTGATTTTGTATTTGAATGTTGTAAGACTGGACAACTTGAGGATAAGTCAAACTGGCAGCGTAATAGCTGCTTACTGGACCATTAACTTTGTTGTATAGGACTGCGGCGATTTCAGCATGTAGGTATTTTGTGAGGATACCTGAATATTACCACCCAAAGGGGGTATTTTCAGGGCAAAGTGACATTACACACGCATGTTTGGACCAAACAGTCTTTGGTGAGGTGAAATGGGTTTTAACGTCGCGTCAAAGATTATTGCACATATATAGCGACGTGCATTGACGTGTGTGTGTGTGTGTGTGTGTGTGTGGCTGCTTGTACTAGTCCGGACTGATGCCGATTTATAGTGCTAGCTCACTGAGATACCATGCCGCAGTTTAACATGAACAACAGCATACTGACTCCGAGCCGACCAGTCCTTGTTTTAGCCCCTTAATGCCGAGCGCCAGACAGGATAACAACAAGTACCATCTTTTAACGTCTTTTGGTATGAAGGGGCCGGGGATCGACACCCGGACCTTCCGCTCTCCGGTCGGACGCTCTACCATAAGACCACGGAGACGGAGTCTTTGAAGTTAAAGTTTGAAGTTTAAAGTGATTTAGGTTAACGTCGCTTTGAACAGTATTCAAGTTGTATCATGGCGTGTCTACGGGTACGGTGCTTACAACCCTATAAACATTATCGGCCCCGGCAAACTGGTATTTGAACTTACGGTGGCAAGTTTCTGGCCTGGTCAAGGGACACAACTCCGCACAGCAAATAGCGGCGCGACAAACGATTGAGCCTCTCATGGCCCCATCATTTTAAATGGCTTGTTTGTTTGTTGTTTAATGCCGCACTCAGCAATATTCCAGCTATATGACGGCGGTCTGTAAATAATCGATCAGACAATCCAGTGATTGACATCATCAGCATCGAGCCACGCAATTGGGATCGATGACATGCATCAACCAAGTCAGCGAGCCTGACCACCCGATCCCGTTAGTCGCCTCTCACGACAAGCATAGTCACCTTTAAACGGCAAGCATGGGCTGCTGAAGACCTATTCTACCCCGGATCTTCACGGGTCCTTTAAATGGTTGAATAGAATGAATGCACGTTTTGGTCTGCCATGCCTTTCTCAAAAGCTATGCTCATACTTGAAGCTGACCCTACCATACTAGTCTTTGAAGTTAATCATCACTTTAGTTCAAAATTATATTTCCTGTCATTTCAGTCGTTACATATACATATACCACGGTAATGTTCGCCAATAAATGCTTGTTATGACACCAAAGCATACAGAGACATGGTACAAGTGGGATCAATCTTAACTTTTTAAAGGTGTAGTTAATATGACATGTGCAGATCCTCATTTACTTAGTAGAGCCCTGGCAAGATTTCAATCCGCATGACTTGCCTTTGCAAGTGTTTGTGATGAATACCACTGGTGGGTCAGGATACATTCACCTTTTCGCGAACACCAGGCCCCGGGATCATGAAAGTGGTCTTACCTCAAATTTTGTTAAGCACGAAGTTTGTCTTAAGTTTATAAGATTTTGCTTACAGTCTTAGCAAAATCTTAGCTAAGTCTAAGTCTTAATCATAAGAGTTAAGACAAAATATGGTCTTAAGTTGGTTTCATGATCCCGGGGCCTGGTATCACACTATTTGATGATTCATAAACACATGCTTATGATATAGTCGGAATTGTACAATGAACTGTTTTTAGTTGAGATTTTAAACAGATGATAATTGGAGTATTAGGGGGTATTTTATGTATGATTATTTGTTTTGATACATTGCTGTGACAACGTAGAGTCTATAAATGCTAGCGTCATTAACACTTTTTTCACATTACGTTTAGAGAAGAAACCCAACCCCTTTCCTTAAAGGGCAAGTGAAGTCAACATTAGCAACATAGCAGATACTTTAAGCCATACTTAATCACAAATGCTTGACCAAAATTAAATTGAAATCATGTAAAAGAGACGATAACAAACGACAGGTAAAATCGTCCCTCAAACGAAAAATTCTGCCACTGAGGGGAATCCCCTTACTGGTGTTAAAACAGGTTCGATGTTTGAGATGCTGCATCGAGCCAGCACCCAGTCTGCCTGGTGGTTTATTGAAGGTCCAAGTGCATGGGTGGCCCAGTCGTCTAAGGCGCCACGATTCGCTGTGCAGTGTTGCGTTCCATGGGCACGCCAGAAGCTTATGATTATGGGTTCGAATCTCGGTTCGCACCGATTATGTTTCTAGGTTTGTCAGCACCATACCCGTGCTCGTGGGTTTCAGTGAAGTGGTAAATGTCTGAGACCTGCATCACTTTGGGCTTTCCTCCAACATTAAGCTGACACATTGCGATATAACTGGAATACTGTTAAAAGCGGTGTTAAACCCAACTCACTCACTCAATTATTGAGGGTCCTACTTGTCCTGCACCTATTGTTATAGGTATAATTTCCCCCGAGTGTGGTGATCGGGTAGATAAACCCATACTTTATTGGAACAAATAACAGGTAGATAAACATGTACATTATTTATCGATGTGTCACGACCGAGATCTTTTAAGGAAATAACTTTCATATGATGTATGGTATATCCAAATGTTTGAACTTTTATTTCAATCTTTGCCAAAACATATTCCAGCCTTTTCTCAAATTGTCCAACAGAGCTCCTTCATAAGATCTGCAAGGGGAAGGTTGTATGACTGTGTGCTCCTCTGCAACATCACCAAAGAAAACCATATATTCACCGTTTCCTACAATATAACTGCATATCTCAACTGAGCTGGGTAGATTATTGCAAATGCAAAAATGACAACCAACTAATTTATAAAACATTGTTTTATTTACAAAAATACATTCAAATCAATGAAAGTTCATCAACCTTTCTCTAACATCTCACCCTCTGCAGCAACTTGGGAGACGGACATCTTGTTAAGATCTGTGGTTGCCTGGCTTATATCAGGCCCAGCTTCATAACTCATATAGTCCTTAATTTCACTATCATCCTCTGGCTTTGGGATCAGTGAAGCTACCTGTCTTGGCATATCGGTCAGTGGTGAGTCTGTTCTTCGTGGGGAGTCAAGTGTACATGGCTCCTCATCATCGAAGTACCGCTCCTCCTCATCCTTCCCTAAGGTTTCCAGGGAATCATAGTCAGCATTCTTGTCCACCTGGCTGGAGAATCAAATAACATTGGTCACAGGTGAACTTGTCTACCTGACTGAGGTATCAAATAACATTGGTCATAGGGGATCTTGTCTACCTCACTGAGGTATCAAATAACATTGGTCACAGGTGAACTTGTCTACCTGACTGAGGTATCAAATAACATTGGTCACAGGTGAACTTGTCTACCTGACTGAGGTATCAAATAACATTGGTCACAGGTGAACTTGTCTACCTGACTGAGGTATCAAATAACATTGGTCATAGGGGATCTTGTCTACCTCACTGAGGTATCAAATAACATTGGTCACAGGTGAACTTGTCTACCTGACTGAGGTATCAAATAACATTGGTCACAGGTGAACTTGTCTACCTCACTGAGGTATCAAATAACATTGGTCACAGGTGAACTTGTCTACCTGACTGAGGTATCAAATAACATTGGTCACAGGTGAACTTGTCTACCTGGCTGGAGAATCAAATAACATTGGTCACAGGTGAACTTGTCTACCTCACAGAGGTATCAAATAACATTGGTCAGAGGAGATCTTGTCTACCTGACTGAGGTATCAGATAACATTGGTCATAGGGGATCTTGTCTACCTGACTGAGGTATCAAATAACATTGGTCATAGGGGATCTTGTCTACCTGACTGAGGTATCAAATAACATTGGTCATAGAGGATCTTGTCTACCTGACTGAGGTATCAAATAACATTGGTCAGAGGAGATCTTGTCTACCTGACTGAGGTATCAAACAACATTGGCATTTTTGTCAACCTGTCCTTGCTCACTGCAGTATTAAATCTTATCGTCTTTTTGTTGGCTACCTTGCGGTAGTATTAAACAACATAGTTGGTGTTCTTGTCTACCTGAATGGTACTGTAAATCTTGAAATTAACATGAGCATGGATTAAATTCGAAAAATGTGAGTGGTCTTTGCTCGCATTAATTAACTTCGCATTTATGTCTCTAAATGACTATCAACAATAACAAGGCCTCGCTGCACACTTTGGATAGTGGAAATACCAACTTGAATATAAACACAAACACATTTTTTTTAGCAGCAGTTGTAACAAGTATATATAATAGTGCCATTCAAAAAATAGGAACATAATGGGCATCCAGTGAGTTATCTCTGCTGGGGTCAAGAGTTCTACCCACTCGTGTCAAGCTTGTTGACACCTTCTCAGCATACCAATCAGTGAACCGTTGTTGGTTTTATTATTTTATTGCCTTCCGAACGTCCTTAACGCAGTCAACAGAGTAAACATATAAACTGTTTGATGTTCTTAGGAAAACACTCTTTATTGTTTTTTTTATGGAAGTGCTCTACTCAGCACTAATAAGTGGTGTTTTTTGCTGTTTGACTGGATTAAGTTAAGGATATGTATCATTCCACTGGGGATGGGGTGGTGGGGTCGCATTGATTATGAGTCACATTTTTGGCTAGGGTTCAACAATCGTATTAATTGGAGATGCATTAATTTCCACATTTACAGTGAGTGAGTGAGTTGGATTTAACTCCGCTTTTAACAGTATTCCAGTTATATCACGGCGTGTCAGCTTAATGTGGGAGGAAAGCCCGAAGTGATGCAGGTCTTAGACGTTTACCACTTCGGTGAAACCCACGAACACGGGTATGGTGCTGACAAACCTAGAAACATAATCGGGGCCAACCGGGATTCGAACCCATAATCATAGGTTTCCGGCATCCCCAAGGGACGCAACTCTGCACAGCGAATCGCGGCGCCTTAAACGACTGAACCACCCGTGCCCCCCACATTTACAGAAATCAAATTACAAAGTATGGCATTTTTGTCTACCCCGCAGAACACAGAAGTAATGTTGCCTGATATTGTTGATCGAACACTTATACCATACTTGACATAATAAGCGCAAAGGGCATTCTCAAAATTGGAAATAGAGGGCTCTTATTAGAATAAAATTTTTGTGAAAAAAAGTTGAAAGATCATAAATTTTGTGGTTTATGCTGACAGCCTGAAATGTTTATGTACAACAGATATATTTTTCCAGAATTTAATTGCACATAATTAAGGGTGCATATAACACATGAGTGCGTATTATACACGAATAAATAAGTCTTGTGTACATTTATCAGTGGGAATGGGTGCTAATTGGGATTGTTCACTAGCCAATATATTAGCAAATATCGCCGCGGGTGCTTATTAGAGTGGGGCACTTATTACGTCGAATACGGTAAACATAATTCCTTTTGCAAAATATGAAGTAGGTTAAACAAATGTTAAACCCAAAAAACAACAGATAGCCTTTCGTAATTATCACTCCAGATAGATTCCATATTGGCATATTGTAATTTGTAAGGATGAAAACTAGTCAAACGTGGATCAAATACGCCAGGAATATACGCTCTTTTGAATAACTGTTACCATACCAATTTATTGTCTATTTATTCTCAAAAAAATGTTCTTCAAAACATCATTACACTTCTGTTTACCATATTGGGCATTACCTTCCCTTCAAATGGGGGGCGTTCGGGTAGCCTAATGGTTAAAGCGTTCCCTCGTCACGCCGAAGACCCGGGTTCGATTCCCGACATGGGTACAATGTGTGAAGCCCATTTCTGGTGTCCCCCGCCGTGATATTGCTGGAATATTGCTAAAAGCGGCGTAAAACCATACTCACTCACTCACTCCCTTCAAATGGGAATACGTCATATCTTGTCAGCAGCAAATGGATTTTGGCACCAAACTCTAAAAAAAGCATTCCTTGAATAATTGGCGGCACAATATCATATCAGTATTCGAAAATTCTATAAATTAGCCGAAATGTACTTATTGGTTTTAAAAAATGTGTCTGGTACTGACCCGTTCTGAAACTGACCAGGGCCCCGTTCCACAAAGCGAAACACTAAGACAATCGTAACTCACATACTTTAACATAGGCTTACGACAATCGTAGCGCTACGATCGCTTTGTGGAACGAAACCCTGTACTGTATTCCTGTGGTTGAAAAATTATCTCTTGTTGTTGGCATTATGATATTTAGGAGACGCCACGCTATTATTCTCCTACCTGTAGTCAAAGTCCCGGTCTTTCCCTGACATGAACCTCTCCTGCATGATCTGCAGAAACTCCGATTTTAGCATCTGTTTCTCAACATCAGAGATCTTTAGTTTCTTCTTTTCTTCTGGCCCGAAGTCTGCCTCCTCATCTTCCCCGCTACTCTCCATCTCTGTAATACAGCACTAGAAATCATGTCTTGTAACCATGGTAACAGGGTCATCATTTCATAAGTTCCTGATATTGATTCGTCTTGACAAATGAATTGTCTTATCATGCTTTCTAGTATCATCAGGATTAGGCCACCAAAATTGTATTAAAAAGTATGCCAAAAATGAGAATTACAATACAAAAATTGTGGTGAATTGCCAAATTTCTGGATCTGCTACTGACCTCATACCTACAATTAGGGCAATAGGTATAGGTAACCTTTGATCAATAATATTCGAGGGATCCATTCTACTATTTCTAGTGATATGGATAAATGCCAGTCAGATATTTTATCTTATAACTATGCATAGATGTTGTTTTTTAAAATGCGGTTGCTATTTTTATGTAAAATAAGACATTCAGAAGGACAGCCATAAGGCTCTGTAGCTCACCTGAATTTTTCTAGAATATTTGCAAACATCATAGACACAGATTGTCACAGGCATACAACAACAAAATAAACAATTTGCAAAAACAGTTGCATATGGAGCATCTTGACTCTTGCTACTTTAAATTACACATTAAGATAAAAATGAATTTCCTGAGAAGAGGGTCAATAAACATTTTTCAACATGATTGCCACATCACCTACAACAGTACTTGAACATGCCGAAAGCTTATGGTAAAAGTTCTGGTATGTGTGGATTATCACATCCTTACTACGTGTTTGGATGGGGCCATATCTGAGCATCTTCCCGAGGCAAGTGAGTTAACTGACTATAAAAGTCCAGTTTCCACCCTTGCCGGACTAGGCTGGTATTATGGAGTTACATTTTGGCTGGACTAACGAGTCCATGCATAGTCCAATCAAAATCGCGCACCGAAATCAAAATCTGGTTCGTAAAGTGTCATGCACATTTCGGTCGACTGCAGGATTTGCAAAGCATGTGCACCGCTAACTCGTTGTCAACAGATATTTTCTAAATCTTTTCATGTTTTTAATCAAGGTGCTCACGTGATTGGATGCACTTCGCGATGTAAGACTCGTTTTATCATAATATAGATCTTGATTATCGATCAGATTGTTCAGACTGGGCGCCACCGTTTTGTTTGAAGCAAACGCAAGTGATACGAGAGGTTGAATCGGTCAATAGGAGAGGCATAGAAAGGACATAACTCGTAATAGCCACTGGTGGCGCAACGATCGAGCCCAGGAATTCTAGCCTAGTTCGGCAAGGGTGGAAACGTGACTTTTAAAGTCAGTTAACTCTCTTGCCTCGGGAAGATGTATCTGAGTGATTCTCACCTTCTTCCTCCTCACTGTCTTCTTCCTCTTCTTCCTGACACTCCTGGAATGAGACACTGATAATGAATTCAACATGCTAAAAGTGATGACGATTTCAAATTTAAAAAGTTAAACATCTTAAAATAAATTCATTGTGGCTTGAGATGGTAAGGATACAAGGTATCAGTGTCAAAATGAATGAAAATGTGATAGAAAAGAAGAAATAGCTTTAATGATCATTAAATAGCTAGTGATTCTGTGGCTAAACAAGCCTTTGTTTTTGTGTATGTTTCCATAAAGGAAAAACTAAAATAGGCCATGCCAACTAACAGACTACTGTTTCCTCCTAATAGTGAGTGAGTGATTTGGGTTTAATGCCGCTTTTAACATTATTCCAGTAGTATTGCGGCATGTGAGCTTAATGTGTGAGGAAAGCCCGAAGTGATGCAGGTCTCAGACGTTTACCACTTCGGTGAAACCCACGAGCAAGGGTATGGTGCTGACAAACCTAGAAACATAATCGGGGCGAACTGGGATTCGAACCCACAATCACAGGTTTCTGGCGTGCCCAAGGGTTGCAACTCTGCACAGTGAATCGCGGCGCCTTAGACGACTGGGCCACCCATGCCCCCTCCTCCTAATAGAAAGAGCAGGACTTGTGTGACATTATTGTGTTGAACGATGTCACCGATTCCGTCCTCATGCCCACAGCTTATTGTGTGTTAATGATTAAATAAGCAGCCTGTGAAAATGTTAACATATTTAATTCATTAATAAAAATTGACTTCAGTATGTTTTTGCATAAATTTATGGAGTTATAAATGTAAAAAAACTGGTGTCCACACTTTGCGTAAATCTGCTATTAATATTTATTAATAAGAATTAACTTCAATACGTTATAAATGTAAAAACCGGTGTGCACATTATCTGGATTTACAGAGTTTGCACACCATTCTTTACATTTATAATTCCAGAAAATTTAAATCAGATTAGCATGATTAGAAAGCTCTGATCATGCTGAAAGGTTTCTTGATAAATGAATTACCGTATTCGACATAATAAGCGCCCAGGGCGCGCTCAAAATTAGAAATAGGGAGCTCTTATTAGGATATTATTTTGGTGGAAAAAAACAGAGTTGAAAGATAAATTTCGTGTTTTTACAGACTGAAACTAGCCCATAACTAAGGGTGCATATAACACACGAGTGCGTATTATACGCGAATGAATAAGTCTTGTGTACATTGATCAATCGGAAGGGATGCTAATTGGGATTGTTCACCAGCCAAAATATTAGCAAATGTCGCCGTGGGCGCTTATTAGAGCAGGGCGCTTATTACGTCGAATACGGTATTATTCTATGGATCACTTGTTACCTCTGCCTCCTTCTGCCTGGCATACAGTGCATTTTCCTCTATCTGGTCAATGTGTTTCAGCAGAATGTTCGAAAACCTCAGATCAGTTTTATCCACTTTAGTCTGTATTTCTTCATCCGTCAGGAAGTTGCCGACCATCTGTTCGTATAGCAATGGGTCCCGCCACTTCATTTCCTCCTCACTGAAGTATTCTCCCAGACTCAGCAATTCCTGCATGGCAGCATATCGCCTATTTTTCACTACCTTTTGGTTGTGAACTTTGTCTTGTTGTTTCAAAATTTCTTTCAAATAGAAGTCGATTTCATAATCACCTTTAAAGTCAACAAAATATTCTACATCTTCTGCCGCAAGAAACTGACCAAATCGGGCCAAAAACATGGCTGGACCTTTTGAAAGAACTTCAGTTGCAATTTGTACTTTATCTTCATATGATAAATCAGGCTCTCCTCTTTGTTGGTGTTTGAAATGAGCGTCTGACATGGCAACACGTGAGATCATATTCGATTTCAGTTCATCAAGCTTTTCTCCACATCTACCGCCATCAGAACTGCCTTCGTTACGAATTCCTTCATTTGTTGCCTCGTTGATGGCCTCATCAACATATTCATCAGAATTGTCATCAACATCCATTTTTATTTAGATGTAACGAGCGTGCAATAGAGACAAGACTAACATGTAGCAGTGTGGTCATGCAAGCTTTTACATCTTTACCGAGTTCTCTTCTCTCTCAAAACGTAAACACAACCATGGTGGTCGCCATGTTTGATTTCCGTAAAATACGGACAATTTTCAGGATTTACGTACGGCACAAAAACAAAAGGAAACGGATATAGAGTATAAGGATAAGCGTTAAAATCACCATTTGAAGAATAATTGCAGTCTCTCCTTGTTCAACTAGTTTTGCTTTGTAATCGTATATAAATCCTCCTGCATGTCATGAATTTGAAATCAAGACATGCTGAGGTCCACATGCAGAAGAGTTAAGGGTTTCTAGGTACGTTTGAAATTGGCTATTGAATGGACTATTTCCAGAAATGTATTTATTCATGACAACGAACAATTCCGGTCACAGGCCCCTGAAGCAGGATAGTGATATAACTGAAACACTGGACCCATATTATATATATGGGTCCAGTGTTTCAGTTATATCACTATCCTGCTTCAGGGGCCTGTGGTCTGAGTGTATAAACTGTCACTAATCCACGAGAATTGTTTATTTACAATTAAAGCTATTTTCAAACAAGAGCCCGAAAAAGCCTATCAAGTTAGATTTTGAAACTCAAATCAGTCAAGATAATCGGCATTATGGTCTTGGTAAATATAATTGCTTGTCGTTGTTATTATTCGTAAATCTAAATTCGTTTCAGCTACAGAAGGGTTCCATGATTTGATATCTACCCAGCTTTATCCTGGTTAAAGGCATAGTTCTGATGTAACCAATGACAGTCCATTTTACAAGTGTGGCCGTCCAATACAAATACAGTTTACTTAACTCACATTTACGTAAACAATGTGCTTTTTCAAGACCGGTAACTACACATGACATTTTTAAATAGTTGAACTGTGGACTGTAACCCGACTGTTGTTTCCGTTTTTCCAATAGTGAACAAATAGTCATGGCAGAAAACAAGGACGATGTCATATTGGTAGATGACAAAGAGAAGAAGAAACGTGAGGTGAGGTACCACTACCAGTTCGTTACAGAGGGTGCATGCATTTCACCTGTTAACCTTCAAAAAAGAAAGATCAAAACGATTACATTTGTAAGATTACCATAGTTACGATGGAGCATAAGATGGCTGAAAGTTCAAATGTGTTTGTAGTAGTTCATATTTAGCATTAAATTGATAAGTTGAAGGTTTAGATATAGGAAATTGCTATCTATACACATACAGAAAAACTAATTTTGTTATTAACTGATATAGATCTAGGTCTATAAGAGTTCGAGATAAGCTGCGTTTATTTGCGCAGCGTGAGGTTTCAAATGTTAAATTTAACATGGTTAAATCTACAGGTAACCTAGCTCTACATTGAAATCACAGTATATGTTTATCTCCATTCTACCATGACTAAATTAAGCGCGAACTCTTTGGTGTTAACAAATATACTGAGTGAAGTGGCATGGGTTGAGTTCAGTGTCTTGAGTGGGTTATCGATCTGAATTACGGAATCACCGAACAAAATATGGTGCTGTATATACTCAAGCAGTTTGTTTACTCCGTAATACTTCACTCGAACATATGACAGGCATTGACAGCATATAAGCACGGCAACTTGGTAAGCTAACATGAGGTGGCCATCCCTAAAGAAAACAAAGCAAGCTTTGCAAGGCTTTCGCTCTACATCACACGTCACCATTATGACGTCATATTACTCATCGTGACGCAAAAGATATAATGTCACAATCGTATATAGAAAAGCTCCAAAATTCCAAGCTCTCTGTTGTCTCCAAAACGTAAATACATTCCCTTTGTTGATTTCTGTCGTGTTTTTCTGCAGGAAATGTATTGCCACAGATCCTTTGAATATTGTAGTAACCGCATCTGTGCATTTTGTAACCTGTAATTGTAGACATAATCATTTAAATATGCCTACCGACAATGACTGAAAATGGTACTATTCTGTGAATATTTGCTTCCGTGGTGATGCGGCCGTCAAACCAGCTGTTTCTATCAGATGGGGTTTATTGGGATTTAATAGCCTCTGATTGACCAATCAGAATCGAGTAAAGCCCAAATTCAGGGTAGAATTGTGTATATTACAACTGTTAGATAAAATGATTGTGTATCAGCTGAACGCAAAATTCACTTACCGACAGTTACGTTCAGAAAAACTTCTGCGACAAACATACTGATAGATGGCAACTGAAAAGCACATCATGCCTAGTCATTGTTCATGTTGTATCTTAATAAGTCGCTGATTGATGATTAAAGAAATAAACAAATTAACAAAAAATGGCTTCCCTTAGACGGAGCTGAAAGCAGACGCAGACTGGTATACTACTACCGTATTTGACCTAATAAGTGCTCACAGCAATATTTGCTAATATATTGGCTAGTGAACAATCCCAATTAGCACCCCTTCCGATTGATCAATGTACACAAGACTTATTTATTCGCATATAATACGCACTCATGTGTTACATGCACCCTTAATTATGGGCAATTAAATTCTGGAAAAATCTGTCGTACATAAACATTTCAGGCTGTCAGCATAAACCACAAAATTTATCTTTCAACTCTGTTTTTTTCACCAAAATAATATTTGAATAAGAGCCCCCATATTTCTAATTTTGAGAGCGCCCTGGGCACTTATTATGTTGAATAAGGTATTCACATAGTTTTAAATGATTTACAGGGATTATTACTAAACAGGTTTTAAGTTAAATACCCAAATGTCAAGAAACGGGTGGGTAAAAAAATTTGAATACCGTCTAAAACTTGTGGATACCCAATCAAAATCAACTCCCTGGGCAAAATACCTAAATAACCAAAAGCTTATCTATAGCTCTGATATATCATGATATAATGACATATATCCAAGTCTATGACTTTAGCCACTAGTCTGAAGCCCAGGGCTAGTAAAATAATAAGCTAATATAAGTCCATATGATAACACTAAATCCAATTGAAAATGATGCTAGGAGCCATGTTCGGGCTGGTACACAAATGTTTTTGGCACAGACAGATATCGTGATATTTTTGAGTGGATATATATCAATACATGTACTACACTTTCCAACCAATGGCTACTGCAATGGAGTTCAGCCTATTCATCTAACTGGATCTTGGCAGTTTAATTTGAAGAATCAAGCACTTGTCAGAATTCTACTTTTTATACTGACTGCCATGTTGGACCTCCTTGAGCTAGCCCATCTCCGTGGTCTAGTGGTAGAGCATCCGCCCGGAGAGCGGAAGGTCCGGGGTTCGATCCCCGACCGTGTCATACCAAAAGACGTTAAAATATGGTACTTGATGTAACCCTGTCTGGCGCTCGGCATTAAGGGGCTAAAACAAGGACTGGTCGGCTAGGAGTCAGTATACTGTGTCTGAGTGGGGTATTCATGTTAAAATGCGGCATGGTATCTCAGTGAGCTAGCACTATAAATCGGCATCAGTCCGGACTAGTACACACACACTAACACACACACACACACATGCACATCGCTATATTAGTGCAATAATCTTGGAAGCGACGTTAAACCCAATTTCGCCTCACCTCACCCTCTTGAGCTAACAATGAACTGACACAATGACCTTCATTTTTTGTAGTCTCTGTTCGTGTTTGGGAATAACATCGCTGAGATCCCGTGTTTCCGGAAGTCATTCCTTGTGGGTATATCAAGTGGACTTGGAGGTGGCATCGTATATTTCCTTTTGACAAGTTAGTGTTTGTTTTAACTAACAGAGATAACAAGTTGCTGTATCTTTTTGTATGATGACACTGGTGTTTGTGTTGCTTGCTTAAGAACCCAATCTCGTATACATGGCATCTTCAATTACAGAAGTACAAGGTCTTACAGGTTTGGGCTGGTACAAGTCTAAATTTACTAGCCGGGTACCCGGCCCCCTATTACCCGACCCTATCCGAGTACCAGCTGTTGGTCTCAAGAGTTTGGTATAAAATATATGTTTGGAAATTGTTTTATCGAAGCCCTAGCAAAACCTATTTAGATAAATTTATAAAGGGATCAGACCATGCATACACTGAAGTTGACTAAACCTTTATCTTTGCTCAAACATGTAAAAGTCAGAAAGTATGCGTGCATAGTCAGAAATAAATGCAAATTTAGCGACTTGTAGTGTAACCATGAGTTTTATTGTTATCGTCATAAAACATTATATCATGTGACTAACCATGAGTGGACCCACCCTACCTGAGTACCGAAATTACCCGTCCCAGCCCTAATACAGGCGCCGAACTCGGCAATATTCCAGCTATCTGACGACGGTCTGTCAATAATTGAGTCTGGACCAGACAATCCAGTGATTGATATCATGAGCATCCTCTCTGCGTGAAGATGTGAAGACACCTCAATAGGAGGTCATATCAGGTGAACTGATCATTAATCAGCTTTCGAAAGCAATTCAACTTTTTTCTTCACCACCTTGAAATTTTGATTCTAATAAAAGAAGACCTACAAATTCCTTTGAAGTAATTCCTTTTTTGATGTAGATGCCATGGTGCTCAGGAATGACAGGATGAACATTTCCTCCACAATATAATGGTGCTGTCTGTACCATTTACAGTTAAAATGGACGATTAACTTGGGTTTTCAAGATACAAAAATCAGATATACTGATGTGAATTTTTTGCTCATTCTTATCAAGAATTTAGAAACTCAACACTGATTGGCTGTTTAGAAAGTTCAACTCCTGCAATCTACTTTTCTGATCATATTGGTATATTCATGTTTCAAACATTCTTGACATTTTGATTTACAGGCAATACCAGGAGAGCACCACACGTAGCTTTCGGATCCTATTTCCTAGCAACCCTCGCAACATGGTGAGAGTCTTGTCACATTGTCATGCCTTAAATATTATTTGAAAATATTATAAGTTCTGGTATTGTGAGTTTCACTGTTTCAAAAATCTTGTTTATGGTTCCCTTGTTTGGTTTTATAAAGCAGGTATTGATTTAAACACATTAATTGAAAACGGCAGTGCTCTAAGCAATGCTAAGGGTATTCATTTTCTTATCGCACATCTCTCCTGATCTGTGCTCCCATAACTGCAGGCCCTTTGGGGATTCTGTTTCAGAATTGGTCCTCAGCTCCGCATGCTTATAAAAAGCCTACACAAACAAATAAAGAAATGTATGTCCGAGTCCCCTGTAGGGAATCCAGCCCGTGAAGGTGCGGGGTAGAACAGGTCTTCAGCAACCAATGCTTACCGTACGAGGCGACTATGCTTGTCATAAGAGGCGACTGACAGGATCGGGTGGTTAGACTCGCTGACTGGGTTGATGCATGTCATCGTATCCCAATTATGTGAATCAGTGCTCATGATATCAATCACTGGATTATCTGGTCTTGATTATTTACAGACTGCCGTCGTATAGCTGGAATATTGCCGAGTGCAGCGTTAAACAAGAAACAAACAAACAAACAATGCTGGGAATCCAAACCCCGGCCTGATCAGAGGTTGGACGTCATGTCCAGAGGTTAACCCCTTCAGCAAGCCGTGGGGTGACACAATGTCTAGCTACTCCCAACTGTCATTATTACATGTATTTCCAGGGCACACTGCAGATACAATTGGTCCGCCAATCGATTCAAACAGCGACAGCTGCAGAAAGGGCTTGAGATGAAAGTTATGTACGAGGGAACTGAAATTGAGAGGCAAATGCTGACAAATTCTGACAGTAAGGAAGTATGACAAAGGCAGATAAAGTGTTATTAATAGATATGTGGAAGACTGTGAATGTATTCCGAACATTACACATCGTGGAGGAACTGCCTGCAGGTTACGAGAGCAGTACACCAGCATCTCAACACTGTCCATCTCTACCCATACACTGAATGTCACAGAATTATACAGATTTGGGGTCTAACCCAAATGATTCAACCGGAATTTGATGCCCAAAACCTGATATGGAATTGATTGTCATATTAATCATGTTAATTATTAGTATTTTGGTTCTTGAAGGTGAGAAGTACATTTATGTTTTACCGTGCACAAAATATTACATTTTATACACATAAAAATTGAAAATAGATGCAAAATAATATGGACTGCAATTTCCATTGGATATGAAAAATTAATGGCCGTTTGAAATATTAATTATGAATTTGGTCTTAATCTAATGTGGTTAACAAATGTGTCCATGTTATCAACAGGAACATATATAAGAGCTATTTGTCCTGTCTCAAACTTGATACATGTGCATTGGAAGAATGTTCGGCATCCTCGAATTCTGACATTATCATTTTCTAATCATGTGGAGATTGTCACATTGTTAATATGGAGATTGTTAATATATATGTGAATGAATTGCATTATATAAATAATAGTGAATATTAGTATTGATGTCAACATACTACATGGTGCATTGTGATGAAACTGAATAAAAAGATATTCTGTTGGTACTTTTGATATGATATTTGCCAAGTACCGGGGTAATAGCTTTTTTTCAAAAGTATGAACATTAGAGAATTTGTATTGGATGTATGACAAGGTCTCCTCACGGGTCGGGGTCAGAGAACATTACTATTGTTTAACGATTTCATAACACGTTTACCGCTCTGTCCATTGTGATAGGTGAGGGTCTCTCTCTCTCTCTCGAGCGGCAAGCGGGATGAAACTTGTATGTAACCAAATAAACAATTGTCCATCAACTTGGGAAAGGACCTCCATACAAAAACAAGCATTCAAAAACCTATTGCCGCCATGACCATAACACGATATGCGCAGTAAAGCAGTGCACATGGAAAGGGAAGTAACTGCATGGTACATTGGATCGGATTGTTTTTAAGTATTAGGATTTAAATATTTTTGGGGGGGGAAGGGAATACAAAAGAAACATGCGGCAGACTTTATGATGTGTGGTGCCTGAGAACCAAGACTATAATTTTTTTAAGCCTAAATTTAAAAAACAAATTTACTCGGATATTTATCCTGTGTTATTTTTTAAGGGGGGAGGGGGGCAATTTTGCAATGGGAATTACTTTTCCTGATCAGTTTCCTGAGAATCATATGGCAAGAATGTTGACAGGTATCTGTGAACAGCTTCATAATGTTCTGTATCATTAATATTTTGTGCAATGATTTCAGGGTAGAAGCCACCTAGCACAGACAGCTGGAGGTGAGGTCAAATGGGGTTTAACGTCGCCTCCAAGATTATTGCACTTATATAGCGACGTGCATGTACGTGTGTTTGTTTGTGTGGCTGCTTGTACTAGTCCGGACTGATGCCGATTTATAGTGCTAGCTCACTGAGATACCATGCCGCAGTTTAACATGAATACCCCACTCAGACACAGTATACTGACTCCGAGCCGACCAGTCCTTGTTTTAGCCCCTTAATGCCGAGCACCAGACAGGGTAACAACAAGTACCATCTTTCAACGTCTTTTGGTATGACGCGGTTGGGGATCGAACCCCAGACCTTCCGCTCTCCGGGCGGAGGCTCTACCACTAGACCATGGAGGCGGTTACAGACAACTGGAGCTTTGTTTGAGCAGGGCAGTCTGTAATCTGTGGCTGTTATTAGTGTTTACCTACTAATGTGTGTGCTTGTGGTTGGAATCGGATAGTCTAGTCCATATGTTTCCAACAGCCAGAGACTACCAGTCAGGGCTAGAAATTGGTGTGCGTGAAATAAATCAGTTGTATATTTTGTTGAAATAATAAACAAGTCTCAGTCATGTATTATTTGTTTATTTTCATGTCATATTGCAGATTTTACCCCTCACTCAAACACATGCACAAAGATTCACACACTTACTCACATAGGTAAATGTTGCAGGGAAACAAATATCCATTCACATACACAACATAGGAAGCTATGTTTACCTCCAGACTTCTCATCTGAAAGAAACAGTGAGATGGGTCAAAAGTCACTGTGAACACGTCTTCCCGAGGCAAGAGAGTTAACTGACTTAAAAAGTCCAGTGTCCACCCTCGCTGAACTAGGCTGGAATTCCTGGGTGACGATCGTAGCACACTAGTGGCTATTACCAGTTATGTCCCTTCTAAACCTCTCCTATGGACCAATCAAATTCCACCTCTCGTATCACTTGCGTTTGCTTCACACAAAATGGTGGCGCCCAGTCAGAACGATCTGATCGATAATCAAGTTCTATATCTTGATAAAACGGGTCTTACATCGCGAAATGCATCAAATCACGTGAGCACATTCATTAAAAACATGAAAAGATTTGGAAAATATCTGCTGACGAGTTGGCGGTGACCATGCTTCGCATATCCTGCAATCGACCGAAATCTGCACGACAGTTTCCGAACCGGATTTCGATACTGGTGCGCGATTTTGATTGCATGCATAGACTCGTTAGTCCAGCCAAAATGTAACTCCATAATACCAGCCTAGTTCGGCAAGGGTGGAAACTGGACTTTTATAGTCAGTTTACTCTCTTGCCTCGGGAAGATGCTGAGAACAGTATTTCAGTTATATGATGACCTGTCAGAGAATTCAGGGAACTAGTGAAGAAATCCTAAATCTATTTTGGACATTTACCATTGCAATCATCGGCTCGACAGTCCAACGACCAGACTCCTAATCAGGGCACATCTTGATCAAAACCCTGAACCAGCAGAGCCTGGCATCAAGGGAGGCAACTCTGCACAGCGAGACCACCCACAGGGCCAACCATGCATGCTCTATGATGTACAGTAAACGTAGACAGGTGTCGTGACTTGTCAATGTGAACCACCTAACATTCATTCAATGTAACATTAGCAAATCTGAAAGAAGTGTTCGTAGATTGCGTCCTTCTAAGATTGGTGCTGCTTTTTAGTATTTCTCTTCCAGAATTGAACCCATGAATCCCTGATAACTCGAGTGCAGAGGAAATTGGGTCATTCGACAGATCACGTCCGACTGCATCATGTAAAACACTCTGCCCCTTTATATCAGACACCAGACATAACGTTGTGACAAGGACTTCATGTCACTCATCATGAGCTTCTGCTGTGTCACCAGGGCAGTTGGATGCCAGGTCGGCAGCATCTGTAACATTGTATTAAAAATAATGTTCATTCTGAAATTTGGAATTTATTAAAGTTTCATGAAATGCTTTGAAGCTGATTTGAGTGGATTAGGGCAAGCACAAAACAGGTTCTTTGTGAGCCATGAAAGACTAGAGACCCTTGTCTTTGTAAACAGTACTATGACAAGTCATTTGTTTTTTGTTCTTCACAAAATCTGAGTGTTAAGAGTCACACATGCTCATAAACCTACTCTCCATTTGTCTCTGGATGCAAAACATGTTCCTTGGAGATGAGAATCAAGGAGTCAACGTAGTGACAGGGAGGCAAAATCAACCTACCAACATATCTAGTTCCACACCAGACACAGTATTTATAGGTCTTCCTGAGGTACAATGTTAAAATCTCCAACATCTCTGCAGCCTGAAAAAGAAAAACAAATTCACATTTTATCACCTATTGAAGCACTAAAACCTTCATTAAGTGTATCAATACAGTGCAAACTCCTGATATCCTTAAACCCCGCATTCCAGGCATTACTGATTTAAAGTGTTTACTGACAAGAAGTAAGAGGGGTATAATCTTACTTATAAACCTCCAGTGATATCCTATTGTTCTCCAGATGGGTTAAATCTCATAAACAGGGATGTTATGATAGCCCAGGGATTTTATTAACACAACTTCCGTTTAGATTGTAACATGACTGTTTCTCGCTAGAAATTTATTTTGCATTTAACACAATGTAGTGAAATGTAAAATCAAATGACAAATCTTTTCTTTTTATCATATAATGGGCAGGTTTCTCGGCAGGATAAAGCCAACGGATAAAAACGATATCCGTTGGGGTCATATGCGGATAGAGATGCAAATATCAAAGGTCAAGTAGGACTACTTTCACTGTTTATAAACAAACATGGCGTCGTCCTCGTCATTCGGCGATAGATTCAAAATTAACCATCGGGAATCTGGATAAACAACAGGGATAATTGCTACCATTATCAAAAGAACAGTCTAATATACTGAAAATCAGTGTCTAACTGTGACGTAGCTAAGGCATTTTATAAGTTTTGGCTACTTTGGAGGTATAAATTTCGAAACAATTTTGCGAGGGCGCGAGGCCTAGCCAAGCGGGATCAGTAGCAATATCTGTGCTTGTAGACATCTGCGACTTGAAACCTTCTCCACAAATTAAAATAGTTGGATTTGGCCGAAATATGTTTGAATTGTTACCTTGTTTGGTTTTGTCGCTGTGTGTACATCTGACTACACTTCTTAACCTTATGACAGGACAGACCAACTGTCAACAACGTCTGACCGTGCCCGTGACGTCTCATAGACTAGGGTTAGAGTAGCTTCCCTTTGACAAAGGGCAGTTACTCTAGCGGACAGACCGATGGATTGCCGCGAAAGGCAATTAAAAACAACTGTTGTTTTGCGTATATGTTGCTTCGCCACTGTATAAGAAAGAGATTTCAGTTAGAACTATATTGGCTACTGTCACTGTCCGACTGACACATCACTTACCCTGTGACGTAATAAATATTAATGCGCGCATTCCAGGAAAACTCGCAATGTTTCGGTAATGTTTGTGAGAGAGGGATAGCGATTTTAAAGCACAGAATTAAAGCATGACATTATATGATAAAGAGGTTATCACGCTTGTGTGTTTGGGGATGGTAAATATCCTGTATTAGGAATAAACACTATGTATTTAGCTCGCCAAGGCTCGCTAAATACAATGTTTATTCCTAATGCAGGATATTTACCATCCCCAAACACACTCGCGTGGTAACCTCTATATATTCCCATGGATCGAACACGCAACCTTCGTATCTGTAGCCCAGTGAGTGTACCACTAGGCTACAGTGGTGCTGATACATCACAAGTACCATACGCAAGCAACAGATATTTTACGCCCCTTTCCTAAGGTTCATTGAAAGTATGTTGAAAACATAAAAATGTTGATAAATGTTGTTTTAAGTGTCTTTTTTCAGTTTATAAGTTAGATAAATCACTTCCCCTCAGGTTTTTATATTTAAAACCCATATCATTTGGATATCCCGCAGATGCAGGTTTTAAATATCATAAAAAAACCTCGGATGTGCTTTATCCTACACATAATCCTGGTGTACTGGTACTCAAGTATGGCTCACACAACTGGACAATGTAACTGCATGACACAGACTGCCACAGCAGTCCACCGATAAGTGGGGACTCTCTGTTCTTGTAATAAGGGAAGTTAATTGATACATCAGTGACATTAACTTTATAATTCTGCAAATGAATCAAACAGTCTGCTTACAGTATACAACTCCATTTTTTCTTCTTCTTCTTCTTCCTCTTCTTCCTCCTCTTCCTTATCGTCATCATCCAGGACCGAGTCGTAGCCTCCAGACATGTCTGATAACCCTTGGTTCAATCTGTCATTCTCGGCTTTTAATTTCTTGTTTTTGGGATGGAATTCTGCTGGCCAAAAGAAATACTCTGATGGCTGGGTAAGACCCTGAAACAAGCAGCAGGATACTTAGTGACAAGTCATGTTTCCTATCCTGCATACACAAACATACAGACAAATCACATTTACTTCACAGTTTTACTGAAAGGCAACTAGGCTTGTCGTAAGAGGCGACTAACGGGATCGGGAGGTCAGGCTTGCTGATTTGGTTGATGCATGTCATTGTATCCCAATTGCGTGGATCGATGCTCATGATGTCAATCACTGGATTGTCTGGTCCAGACTCGATATTTACAGACCGCTGTCATATAGCTGGAATATTGCTGAGTGCGGCTTTAAACATCAAACCAATCAACCAACCACTTGCACAAAACGAACTTAGGGCTAAGATGATTGTAACTCCCATATTTTAACATAGGCTTACGATAGTCATAGCGCTAAGGTCGCTTTGTGCAAGTGAGCCTTGAAGTGGCTCTTTCCCTAAACACTTTATACACTTATTTCGGTAACTTACTGCTTCAGCATCAAGTTGTTCGCAGACTTTCTGACTTTTTCTGAGATCCCCTTCAGCTCTTTTGTCTGCAAAGCGACCTCCCATCCTCTGGACAAACTCTGTCCGCTGCCTGCTGTCCATCCTCTGTCTTTTGGCAGACATGTTGGCTCGCATCAGCCTCTGCTCTTCCTGCTTCCTCTTCTGATGAGCTTCTTGACCCAGGCCACCACGGCCCAGCTTCAGCTGGATGGGCACAGGCTCTTTCCTACCGGAACCTGGCAAAACAGAAAAATACCATATACAGTTAACTACTCTTGTATGCAACATCAGACAATTTTTTCCCCATTATTTTTAAAAATTCCGTTTCATATCTCAACGTTATTTACAACATCATGATTCGCTTTATTGTTTTTCCAGTCTGTACCAGACAAACCAGTGAATGAGCATCGGTGTACGCAACTGCAATACGATGGCATGTATCAAACCAATTCTACGAGTCTGACCACCGAATCTTGTTAGTCATCTCCTATTAACTGTCAGTATGATCTGTGTACAGAAACTTGGGTTATCTTAACTTTTCAGACTTAAATACTTAAGGGCATACTTAATCATTAATGCTTGACAAAAATAACGCCCCCAAATAGCTTTTGGGAATCTGATTACGGAACGTGTGATTTCAGCACTTTCACTTGGAAATCGAAATACTTTCTTCGAAATATTATGATAATTTTTTTCTCCAGAATTGCCTTAATGTGTCCAGGAAAATTGATATCCGCAACAAAATTGCAATCACATTTAACACGTTACTTGCTCTTCAACACACAAAACAAAGGCAGCTGTGCTTGCCATAAAAGGCGACTGTGCTTGTTGTAAGAGGCGACTAATGGGATCGGGTGGTCAGGCTTGCTGACTTGGTTGATGCATGTCATCATATCCCAATTGCATGGATCGATGCTCATGATGTCAATCACTGGATTGTATGGTCCATACTCGATTATTTACAGACCGCTGTCATATAGCTGGAATATTGCTGAGTGTGGCGTTAAACAACAAACAAACAAAATTGTTTAAGTATTATGATATCCAAATACTTATCTGCTTGTATATCATGTGCAACAAAGATATATATTTGGTTTTCAGGAATCATATTTGACGAGCATATACTCAAGTGCCAATCTTGTACAGCACAATCATTCCCTCTGTGTAAACAAGGAGAAAAACATATCTACATTGCCGATGTCTTCGGCAATCTAAAGTGTCAAAGCCAAATACCAGTACTACCTGCTTTGCCAATCGCCATGCCAGGTTTGTATCCCATCTTCTGCAGCAAAGCAAAGCCCTTGTTGTCACTGCCGATGGTCGCCTTCATACCCTCTTCTCTCTTCTCCTTCTCAAGGGTTGCACGGGGCTTGTACATCTGTCTATGCTTATTGTTCAACTCCTTCTTCTTTTTGTCTCTCTCAAACTTCTTGGCAGCTCGTTCTGGCATCAGCCCAGGTCTTGTGTCGCTGCTTCAAAGAAAGAAATTGATCGGGGTTTTATTTTTTATGTATGTCTGGTCTGTGTTAAGTGAGTGAGTGAGTTGGGTTTAACACTGCTTTTAACAGTATTCCAGTTATATCACAGCGTGTCAGCTTAATGTCGGAGGAAAGCCCAAAGTAATGCAGGTCTCAGACATTTACCACTTCAGTGAAACCCACGAGCACGGGTATGGTGCTGACAAACCTAGAAACATAATCGGGGCGAACCGGGATTGGAACCCACAATTATAGGTTTCTGGCGTGCCCAAGGGACGCAACTCTGCACAGCGAATACGACGACCGGACCACCCGTGCCACCCTTTAAAGGAAGAAATTGATCTGGGTTTTATTTTTTTTGTATGTCAGCTGGTCTGTGTTAAGCATATTTAACATTTCTAAGATTGTTTTTCATAAAATCCTTCAAGATCTTTGTTCTTTAATCTTAATAGCCAATGTGAACGTGAACGTGAACGTGAGCAGATCTACTAACCCCACATGAGCCCGTATACCGTCAGTATAAATCCAAGATGGTTGATATGAGCCTCGCCCGATATTTTTCTGCTAACCTAATATGACACTGTATACCAGGGTTAGAACTCAACTCAAAATATTCACTAGCCCCGGTAAAGATAAAATGAGTTTGTAATGTTAAAACAATGGGGAAATTTCGAAATTTGTACTAGCCCGAATGAATTTGTACTAGCCTCGGGCTAGCGGGCTAGTGTTAATTTCTAACCCTGTATACGGCAACTAAAGACACCATAACTATTAATATGTTCCTTTATACTGCATAAACATCAATCTTAGAGGGAAATCACTCACCATTTTAATCATGTTAATAGTATTTTACTTTTATCAATTCCTATACTAACCCTATTTATCTATAAGAAAACATCATAATAACTATATGCTAATAGTTATTTTCTTAGCACACCAACATTTACATCTTGTACATACTTTTCTCAGTTTCTAACATGCAGCGACATTCAAAGATAAATGGATTACATCATATAGTGCTATTACATCATCAAAAACAAGAAGGATATAATGAATCATAGTTATAACATATTGATGACCTATTCTCATTTGCTTTTTGGAATTAATGCCCTTTGTTTTCAATATATAATGCTTATCTTTGCCATATTGACCTATTGTCTATGTTTTTCTGCTTCACCACTTCAGAAGAGTATTAGATTGACTTTCTTTGTGTTGTTAGAGGGAGTGAGTGAGTTGGGTTTAACGCCGCTTTTAACATTATTCCAGTTATATCACGGCGTGTCAGTTTTATGTGGGAGGAAAGCCTGAAGTGATGCAGGTCTAAGACGTTTACCACTTCGGTGAAACCCACGAGCATGGGTATGGTGCTGACAAACCTAGAAACATAAGTCGGGCGAACCGGGATTCGAACCCACAATCATAGGTTTCTGGCGTGCCCAAGGGACGCAACTCTGCACAGCGAATCGCGGCGCCTTAGACGACTGGGCCAGCCGTGCCCCCCTTGTGTTGTTAGAACACTGCCACAAATGGCAGTTGAACGTACCATCAGACTTCCTTATTATCATGCTTAGAATAGATGTTCATGCACTATAAAAGGGCTACGTCTTGTCTGAAATGCACTAGTGCTGTGGAATAAACATTGGGACAGGTACAAAACAAAGGCTTATTTGTAACAAACTCCACCCAATAACGCTCTATTTCATGATATGACATGAGATGACAGACTATAGCCATTGGGATTAATCACAGGACCATGTAACTAATATTTAATAACAAACAAACTCGCAGACGAGGCCGAAGACCGAGTAATATCGATATGTATTATTCAATGTAATTGTATGCACAGGACTAGTAACTAATAATAATAACAAACAAACTCGCAGACAAGTTTTTAGCGAATTATTATTTGGGAAATGGTCCTGTGCTGTATGATAATCCGATTTATGGTACCAAGATGTTATTATTCACAAAGTAAACATACCATTGTTTAAGAAATGCATCTGACATGTAATCGTCTTCGTCATCATCTACATTTGACATCTTTTAGAGTGGTTAACTTGAACGAGCAATCCCAAATCACAGTTTTGTGTGCTGTAAAATATTCCAACCAAAATCGAACCAAAATGTTTACATGATGAGTTATGTCCCTTGAATTCTAAGGGGAGTAATAAATCACAAATGGCAAAATCATACCACTAATAAATGTATTCATGGTCTCCACTGGTTAACAAGCTGTCGCTGTTCCGTCCCTGGGATCTCTTTAGGCACCGCAATTCGCTGTACATAGTTGCATCGTTAATCTGGGTTTCGATTATTAGATCACCGGACAGCCTTATTTTTGCATTACGACCATGTTGTTTGAAGATCCGCGGTAGAATAGGTCTTCGGCAACCCATACTTGTCGTAAAATGCGACTACGCTAGTCGTAAGAGGCGACTAACGGGATCGTGTGGTCAGGCTCGCTGGCTTGGTTGATGCATGTCATCGATCCCAATTGAGTGGATCGATGCTCATGCTGTCAATCACTGTTTTGTCTGGCCCAGACTCGATTATTTACAGACCGCCGTCATATTGCTGGAATATTGCTGAGCGTGGCGTTAAACAAGAACATAACAAAACACTGATCGTAATCAACTGGATTGAACACAACATATGGATACCCCTGGCACCACTATTTTACGTGTATGGTCAAATCAACTCCGATTAAATCGGATAAAAGTAAATAGCGTAAATGTGTTGGAACTTTGCTTCAGCCTGTTATCCCGTCCATAGCCGTTGTCTTCGTGTAGATAGCACAGTATGATGTAATGAGTCTAAGGTCACTTGATCAGAGGTGAGTTTACAAGTACTTTAACCAAAAGAACTTTACCGGTGGCGAAGATTATATCCATGCATGTTTTACATGCTATTTAACTCACACCCTCTCTCATATAATTTTCTCATATATTTGAATTTGTTTTGCTGTTAATGTGAAAGCAGTAAAGAGCTTATCGACCAAAAGCATTTCGTCCATAAATACCATTCAGTGGGTTGACAGCTCAGTTGAGATACAAAAAAGAGCCATTGGAATATATAAGGGAAATGTATTGATAATCAAAAGCATACTTATTCTAATCAACCCCTAGTCAAATGCACGTGGTATGAGTATTTTTTCATAAAAAAACGGCCACTTGACACCGCGTAACCAACTGAAGGTAAACCCTGACGTCGTCTCGGAGGGCAATGTACAAGTCACCTTGGTCACTGCTATCTCATGGCACAACAGACGTCCAGGTAATAAGTAATCTGTGCGCATTGTTCAAACACTGTGACGCCGCATGGAATGCGATATCACGTGAGACTGTTTTCCACACACGCAGAGTCAGCAGCTAAAGCATCATCTTGCCCCCAGCCCATTGCCATTGTCAGTTGAATAATAAACGTTTAGTTAATATACCGTAATATTGTATATTCGCTCAACGGGGATCACTCTAATCTTCTATAATTTCTATTTTATGCAAATGTACTTCACACAAACAATTACAGGCAACATTCTAGCGCTACTTAACTCTAATTTGCCACAGAAATTATGCATATATCATCAATATTAGTTGTTTCTTCTATAGGTTTCCCTCCAGTATGAATGATAAAAATATATATTTAAACGGTATGATATTTTTGTAATGTTTTGTACTGTGCGACTAATAAAAGACACTTTTTCATTTCAGAATCTATCTACACCTCATAAACAAGAGGTTTACGGATAAGTGTGGTACATACAGTAACATGTATAATACAATAATCCAAACCAAGCAGGAGAAGTTTAGGAGACTACATTTTCTGCACATTCTGGACGGAGAAACTCAGTGTCAAGGGAACATCGACCACTGCATCTTCCCGGGGTAAGGGAGGTAACTATGAAAGTCCAGTGTTCCACAGTTAACTCCCTTGCCTCGGGAAAATGCAAGCTCCTTCCCAGCGCGTGACACCTTCGTTACACTCTCGGTAACATCGCTGCCACCAGTGTGGGCGCGGCCATTACAAGAATCTTGAAATTTGCCCTCCAACCCCATATGTAGTAACGTTCATACTTTTGTTTATGTCTTTGGGAATGCCATCATATTTCAATTTGAAAAGGTTTACGACTGACCATGTTTTCCAGATGAATTTACTTTGTTGTTTTGATAATCAGATTGGTTCGAGATTGCAGACTAACGGAAAATCAACCAACTTCTCCCTTACATTCTTACTACATCAATAATACGATAGTTTTAATGAAACAGTAATTCAAATTGACAAACGAAGAGAGTAATTTAGCATCGATAAGTGTATTCGGCGTCAAGACAGTCGTCACTTGTTTGTAAACATAACCGCCATTCGGTTGCGAGTTCAACTCCAAGCATGGTTATGGCCACCTATTCACAGTGGGGAGTTTTGACTGGTGGCAGCGATAGAATAGAGAGCTCCGGGAACGTACTATCGCTGTGAGGAGCTTGGGGAAATGGTACTGTGGTCAAAATCGTGAAACATGGATAATAAATATTCACTTTGAAGGACAGTATAAGTTGTAGAGATTATTACATGCTTAGTGTGCCATACATATCAGTAAATGGTAAAAATACAGGGGGATTCCATTGTCAGTTTCTCCAGATGCCCGTTGGCCCCTTAACTAAAGTCAGTTTTTGTTATACGGAGGAAGTCAAGGTACAAGATGAATAATTAAAGTGATAACATAGTTGTAATTATACTGTAATATAAAGAGACAAACCTAGGGTGGACAGAAACAAGCATAATCATTTAAAACAAAACAATCGTTTAAAACAGAAGCACGTTCCAACGAAAGACTGGGCCTGTTGTGTTTCTCCAATTTCTTACACACCTGTGGGTGAGAAACCCATTTGAGATAACTGGTATCAAACATATGTGTGAGATCAAATTCAATGTATACAATCACAGGTGGCAATTAGATTTCTTCTGGAAATCTTTAGTCCGAGGCTAGCGAAAATCCAGAGGGTTTAGTTGTTTTCTACCAAAATCTATTCATTTTCCGGAAACCACTACCAGAAATCAGCGACGAATGGCGTCTACTCATTGTAATTATACTAAGTTCAAAACATATTGAAATATATGAACAAAAAAGACAAAGTTAGACTGAACAGAAACCAACGTTTTATACAAAATATAAATGAAAATACTGTAAACAAACAATCAAATGAACACCTAGCAACAACTTGACAAGACCTGCGAATGTATTTTTATTTGGTCGAAATAGTCCCATATTGTACTTAATATTTTAGAATAGATGCCAAAAATGAGTTTATGGTGGGTTTATGCTGGACACTTATTGATAAACTATTCATCTAAAACATAGAAAACAATCCCTTGAAGAAGTTTAACACTGACGAGTAGCATGATCCAATGAAAGACTGGGTCTGTGTGTCTTCAATGTCGCCTACATCAATCACAACATATGGCAATGGTGTTTCTTGCACATCACTTGGGAATGGGGATACTATCAGGTTGCCTAGATCAATGTCTATGCATGGCAGCTGTGATTGTACGGTCTTGGGCGTTTCAATCAGAGGAGATGGCAGGAGGGATTGTACGGGGTCGCCCAGATCAATGTCCAAACACTGGAGGGGTGGTTTGGAGAGCGGGGTGTGGGTGACGACATGGGGTGTCTGAGGGTCGCAGCTGAATCGAGCGGTAGTGGAGGGGTCCTATCAAAAAGGTAAAAGAAAAAAGGTGCAAATTGTTTGTGTTAGAATGGTGCATCAGAGAAAGGTAACGTGCGTTGATTGATCAAATGATATAGACCTGAGAAAAAATAAACATAGTTCTGTGAAAGATTGAAAATTAAAGCGATGATAAAGGGCATGCATGATTAGCTCTTTGAGTTTTTGGTTACAGAATGACATTATGTTATAGACGAGTGTAAGGCTGTTAGCTTTTTGTTAGTGGATAATTATGGTTGGGACTGGCTAAAGTATCAACAGACTGATAAAGCATTTGTTCATAGAAAACACCTGAGGCTGCTCACTGAAAACGCTAAACACGAATGACCACGATGACCTACTGGAAGGGGGACGGGAGTGTCAGGGTGGGAGAGAGCCAGGCTGTGTCTCTGCATGTTGTTCAACTCATCCCGAGCTGTGAGTGTGAGGAACAAAAATAATGTGTAGACATGCGCACAAGACTTGTAGAAAAAGACCAAAAATCCGCAAACATAAACATCAGTAGATCTAAGGGGGTTTTTTTTGTTTTTTTTAATCAATCGTTTCCTTATACAGTTCGTCTTGTATCCGTTGTCAACGGCTGACAAAACAAAGACATAAAATTGGCAAAAATGAGTGAAGTTTAGATCAAGTAGAAAATGGGGAAATGAATAAAAGGGAATGGAACCAACATATCATGAAAGGTTGTGAAGGAGCTCGAGATGTTACCAATGACCACAAACACTAGGGTTTATATTTCAACCTAACTGAAAAACTTAGGATAGAAGTCTTACCCAAAGAAAATGAGAAATAATAATCAAAATCAATCAAACCAGAATATAACAAGTGGTGATAAAGTACCTTGGTGATAAACACTGGCCACATTCGCAAACATGTTGCTTGAATGAGGCAGTAACGTGCCAGAGAAATGAAAACAAGACTTTGGAGTCGATTTGTGACTATGCACCAAAGATGGCGTCGTTTGAAGTGACAACAGTTACCATGGCGACAACGATATCGCGAGATCACGTCACTGGGCCTGAGAGTTGGGGAAGCGCGGTACTTCAAAAGTTTTTTTTGGCTCGCGCAAAACGCAAACGATTTTTCAAATCTTCTGAATAAACACATATATTCTGGCAATCATTCGTGGTTATTTTTGTGATAATCAAAAGCCCATTAATTGTATAATTTGAGAAGGTGTTTCGTTTCTTATCTAATATGTAATGCAAAATATGTCAAACATTAAGCATTCTATTCATATATTTGACAAAGACCAAAGAATAGGAGTGTCAGGTTTAACTTAACAACAGGAATTCGTAGCTTTACAAATATAGAAAAAATATTTGTACCGATTTTGTACCGATCTGCCTCGTACATATACATGGTCTCATGGGGCTATAAAGTTATTTTTTGTATTTAAGTGTGACCAAAGAGCATACGGTAATCGGGGCCAATCTAAGTTT